CGCAATTAAATTTTTCTTTAAAAAATAAATTATGACATAATTAGGCGCAATGTGCATGTTAGGCCATTTGAAGATTTTCTATTTATTTTTATCAAATACGCAGAGTTAGTTTAATATTACTAGTCTAAAATGAGCAAAATAAACAATTTAAAATTTTTTTTTTTTTTAATTAAGTAGTAGTTTTAAACAGATGAATTAATTGGATTCCACGATCCTTCATGCATATTAGCGTGGAGTTTTTATAATATAACCTGAATTTTTTTCTAAAAGACTAGGTAAATATGTAAAAACACTTCAGTCTGTAAAATTAATAATTCTTGATAATTTTGACAGATGCAATTAAATTAAGGCATTTAATTTTATTATAGTTTTGTACTTCCAACTGTTATTACATTTGACTTGAAATTTTGTATCAAAAATTTCAAGTCAAATGTAATAACAGTTGGAAATTATCAAATATATTTAAAGTCAAATTACCCAATAGGTTTGTGCAAACCTTTTATAGTAATTTACTGACCAGTCTATAAATTATGCAATAATTTCAAAATGATGTATTTTTCCGATTCCATGATTACTTTATGCATATTTGCATTTTGTAACCCTAATATTTGTTATTCATTACATGATTAAATAAGTAAAAACACTTCAGTCTGTAAAATAAACGATTTTGTATGATTTCAACAGATTCAATAAAAACTGGATCACTATTTAAAATTTCAAGGAAAATAATGGTTCAAAAATATCAAATATATTTAAAGTCGATATGCCCAATTGATTTGTACATCCCTTTTTCTGTAATTTACTGACTGATCTGTAATTTATACAATAATTCAAATGATGCATTTTTTGGATTCCATGATTCCTTTATGCATATTTGCATTGTCCAACCCTAATTTTTTTTCTTCATAACACAATTAAATAAGTAGAAACCCTTCAGTCTGTAAAATAAACGATTCTGGATAATCCCAACAGATTTAATAAAAACTGGATCACTATTCTAAATTTCGAGTCAAATGTAATAATGGTGCAAAAATATCAAAAATTTAAAAAAAATTACTAACTAATTAAAGTTGATATGTTTAATTTGTTTGAACAGCCCATTTTCAGCAATTAACTGACCGAACAGTAATTCATGTGATTATATCACTGACTAGTGCTTCCAATACCGGTAGTACCGGTACCGGAATACCGGTATTACCGGACATTTTTAAGTACCGAAATACCGGTATTGGTTTGGCTCAATACCGGTATTCTTTCTTTTTTTTTTTTTTTTTAAAGGTGCCCCAAGAAGTCCTTACGGTCTTATCACAGAGCACCGCGGAAGAGCATTTAATGGGAAGTTCACGACTCCTTCCCAACCGATGTCGCAAGACTTGCCCATTAAAAATATGTCCATTGAAAAAAATAAACCGATGTCACAAGACTTGCCCATTAAAAAGTATTAAAAATATATAAATATATGTAGAGGGCTTATGATATAGCAGGTGCTATCGCCCTCTTTACGTGAAACACTAAAGTAAATGAAATACTTAAAACTTTCAACAACGCTTCCGGTAGGAAAAAGACAGCTAGATGAGAAAAGACGTGTTTAAAATGTCTAAAACAAGTATTCTACGTACTTTATACTTGATATCTAGTTGTCAGCTCATTTCCCACTAGGTTTGGTAGGAAATGAGCTAGCAACTAGCCAGCGAACAGCTAGCTAGTCGCTACCTGTGGGTAAAAGACGCGTTTAAGACGTATAAAATACGTAGAATACTTGTTTTAGACAATTTAAACACGTCTTTTGTCATCTAGCTATCTTTTTCTTACCGGAAGCGTTGTTTGATCGTGACTGGAAGTTTTAAGTATTTCATTTACTTTCGTGTTTTCATTAAATAATGAAGCACCAATTTAAAATATTATCATTACGTCACTCGCTTTAATGTAGAACGCTTGTTTGAATTTTGCACTAACGTAAATATGAAAAGTTTCGGTAATGTAGAAAGTGGGGCGTTTCGGTAATGTAGAAAGTAACAGTTGTGCATTAGGCATGGGATTCAACTAGGTATTCAAGATATTTTGTACAAAAAATCGTCAATTTCTGCAAAAAAAACTTGAAAGTAATATGCAATAACAGAGAAAGTGACAAAGAAATTCTGATGACACAAACAAAACCAATAATGATGAAGACTTTTCCGGCGGGTTTCAAGTTGTAATGAGTGAAGAGAATGACTCTATTGAACTGACTGATGATCTGCAGCCATTAATCAAAAAGGTGCGCACCATTGTGAAATTTTTATTTTTCCGTTCTCTGACAAAAAATGGTCAAAATTCAAAAACGCACGTTAGAAAAATTTGATAAAGATATTCCACTAATACTTGGATCCAAAACTAGCTGGATTAGCTTGCACACAGTACTCGAACGTTTTGTATAATTGAAAAAATGCATTCACGAGTCACTTTTTGCCCTTTAGTCCAAAGTTGAGGTAACTAATAATGATTTCGATGCAATATTAGCTGTTAACTTATGTCTTGCGCCAGTAAAACTGGCTGTGGAAACATTGTGCCAAAATCATGCAATTCTGTTGTGTGCCGATACAACATTTTCATGATAGATAACCTTGGAGAAACCGATTTAGCTGTAAAGTTATGTTGGTGCAACAATTCAATGAGCAACGTACTCTTTTTCCAGCATACAACATTTTTTGCACAAGGGACATCAACGTTACAAGAATTTGGATCTAGCTCTATCTTTTGAGCACCATAGCAAATTAGCCATTGTAAATACCATTACTTGACTGAAAGATCGGCTCAATCAGAAAGGGTATAGTCCTCTCCCTTTCACCAGCATTTTTTCCGATAGTGATTCTGTGGACAACGCTTGAACTTGTCATTGAAAAAAAAGCTTGACTTTGCAATTTTGAAAAATAAGAAATGTAACAACAAGGGAAAATTGAATATTTCGAATAATTCATCAAAAATTATATTTTTGATGAATTATTCGAAACATTCAATTAAAATTTTTGAAGAAGGAGGAAATCGTTGAATATATTTGCAAAATTCCTACCATTACTTGAAAACTGTGAAGCCAACAAAATTAGAGTATCTTTTGAAGATGATGTTCTGAACGCCCTATGTTTTTTACGGGCTCATTTTACTAAGCAGAAAAAAGCGAAAAATGAAAAAGTCAGTAGTTTTGATATAAAACAAATAAGCTGATTGAATCAATAAAATTTTTTACTATTAACTTGAGATTTTATTTAGATTATGATGAATTTAAAAATAAAGTTTAATACCGGTATTATACCGGTATTACCGGTATTGTAATTATTTAGTACCGATTTACCGGTATTGAAAAATGGTATCGGTATTGGAAGCACTATCACTGACCCAATAAATCTCATGAATTTTTTTCTTATAGCAAGTCAACAAACATGTTTCGAGCTTCTGGACACTACAGGAGCCATTCCAGAAGATTTTTTTATAATTGAATATTCAAATATAATTGATGTCATTGTATAGAGCTTGGTTTGACTTAAAAAATGAGGGGTCATTCGGCCTTTGAAGTTAAGCAGATCGAAAGTTATTGACCTTTTTGTAGTGAAAAAATGGGTGATTTTTTGACAAATAGCTCAAGTATGGAAAATTTACTGAGAAATGGCACCGAAAATGAGAGTGTTATTGACATTTGAATAACTTTTGAACCGATAATACATTTGACTTGAAATTTTCCATAGTGACCAATTAACTATAAGGAAATAAAATTCCAAAATTATTTTTTTTTTAAATCTGTCAGGATTGACCAGAATCATCTATTTTACAGACCAAGGATTTTGACTAGTTTATATATTTTGGGGTCATACTGACTTTTGAATAACTTTTGAACCAATAATATATTTGACTTAAAATTTTCCATAGTTACAAACCATCTATAAGGAAATATAATTCCAAATTTTTTTTTGAAAAATCTGTCGTAATTGACAAGAATCATCTATTTTACAGACTGAGGGTTTTTACTAATTTATATATTTTTGGGGTCATACTGACTTTCGAATAACTTTTGAATCGTTATTACTTTTGACTTGAAATTTTTCATAGTGATCCAACAACTATAAGAAAATAAAAAACAAAATTTTATTTTAAAAAATCTGTCGCCATTGTCCATTTAAAATTGTCAACTGGGTAAAAACTTTTTGTTGAAAACTTTTTAAATAATTTTTACAATGATTAATTACAACCTAATTTTTTCTAACATAAAGAATATTATAAAATTGTTTAAGTAACTCATATGATAACAATTTTTGGCATAATAGCAATATCTATTGTTCATTTAAGTCTAGACTTACATGAAAACAATATTGTATATTGAAAAATGAGCAATATACAAAAGTTATAACAAGCAACTTTACCAAACTCTTAGTGTGAAACCATTTTTAAATATTCGAACTATTTTTAATTGAAAATTGACTCTCTTCTTATGGCGCATTTTTCTTTTTTTTATCATACCATTTTGGATGTTCCTTTTTACCTACTAAATTACTATTTGTGCGCAAAAATACCAATTGACACCAAAAAGATGATTTTAAGGTTTAACCTTGATGCTTTAAAAAACATACTTGTTAGTATTTTGTTTTTTACCTATAAAGATTTTTAAAAATCTATAGGGAGGGTGGGATAAACATTGAATAGCCAGACTTTATTTTATAAAAATTTATTTTGGTATATAAAATGGTTTAGATAACTCAAATTAATTTTGATCAATGAAGTTGTTGTTGTTTTTTTCTGAAAAAAACTCAGATAACTCTAAAGTTTCTGAATAAATTTAAAAACCAAAAAAATTTACAATATATTCTAATTAATACTATACTTAGTACTAATAATTATTAATATTATATTTAAAATATTTAACTTTTAGGTGTCTTTAACAAAATGCCAATGAGTAATAAACATCTGGAAGAGTTACTTTAAACAATTGTAAATAACAAAAAATATGACTAAAATTATATAACTAAAATTACCATTTAAAGGAGATCTTTGTGATCTGTAAAAAGTGGCACTTGTTGACCCATATTTTACTATTGGTGTACCAAAATCGCCACGACTCATAACTGTTTATAATTTCCTAGTTGTTTATAATTTGACGCATAACAATGAAGCTTTGCACATAATACTAGAGAGAAAAAAATGTATCAACATAAGGCTTTAAAATCAAAAAAAATTATATTACTAATCATACAGATATATTCATAACATCACACTGCAAATATAACATTATAAAATCGAAAGTAAAAGTATAAAAATAAAGCTAATGGAACATAGCGCATGTTACATGGGGCCCAAGTAACCAACTTTTGTTGTTATTTTCTATTGCCCATGATAGGCAATAGAAAATATCGAAAAAGTAATTTTATTAATAAACATCATTGTTAGTTGACAATACTTTTAAGTATATTTTATCATAATAGTTTAGTTTAGCAAGTAATTTAAGTTTTGATCGTTTAAAGTATTAAACTGAAAATAGGTCACACTATTGAAGGCATTTGTGACCCTACCCACAAGTTGACACGCTACCGTTTTTCGCCTATCGTCTTAAACCCACTAATACGATTTTGTTCAAGAAAGTAACCTTAATGGGTATTGTCACAAAGCATCGATCAAACGCCACATTTTTTTTTTTTTTTTTTTTTTTTTTTTTTTGCTTTTATTGATGTATAACATACATATACATTGTATCTGGCATCGATCCTTCATGTTCTGAAGAACATGAAGGATCAATAAACATAAGAACATAAACTTCATTTTCTGAAGAAAACGCTCTAACCACTGTGTCACGGGTGCTCGATACTTCGTAAATGAGAAAAAAATTTGACTAATTTTTTTTCTTTCTAAATGTTTAGAATTAATTTTAAATAATCACCATTTCAAAATAATTTTGTTCTTGTTGTTTTATTAATTGCAGTTGATAATGTTTTATCAACTGCAACTAATAAACTTATGTCATATATGTCATAACTAATAAACTTTTGTCATACAAACTGTTTACACACCCAGTGCCGTGGCTAGTAAGTCGGAGCCCTCCCTTCCTTCCCAAAAAAAAAATTATTTGCAAAAAAGCCCCCTAAATTTGCTGCTCCCCTTCCCCATTGGGGTGTGTGGTAGCCTAGCCACGGCTCTGTTTACACCGCTCTCATAAAAAAGATTAGTTTTTTAAATATATCATACACGGAGATGTATGTTATTATTAAAAAACTGAAATATGTGTTATAAATGATATGTTTTACTATGTCTTTACTTTTTTAAAACCATATATAAAATTCATATATATGCTCATATATCATAGCGTATATATACTCTTTACTTTTTTAAAACCATATATAATATTCTAAAATAAAAATATATATTGAAAGATTTGATTTGTAATTAAATTTTAAATAAAAAATAAACATAGTTTACACTTTTTTTGCATTCAAAATGTTTTCATATTCAAAATTTTTATTGAAATATAATTTACATTCAATAATAGCAATAGGATCTTTTTAAAATTTAATAATATAATATATATGATACTAAATACTAATTTATTAATTTTACATTAATAGTTCAATACTAAAGAGTGAAAAAATATTTATTAGCAGATTATGCACCAGGCAGGATTTTTTGATGTTTAAAATATAACCCTTTCAAAAATTTTACAAACTGAAAACTCAAGTACGTTTGTGCTAACGTCAAATGAGAGGGCTTTGCAAAAAGACGAGGTTATTAGAGTCTGGAACAAAAATATCTAAAAAAAATTGTGCTTTCCCACTCAGAATGTGAGGATAACGAGTAAATAAAATATATTTTTACTACTAATTTTACATTCTTCGACAGGTTTTTAACTTCATTTAATAATCTTTTAGAGTTTCAAAAAATTAATCTTTAAAAAGAATCTTTAACAAATAGTTGATGTTCTATATTAAAGCCACAGTACAGTATTGAGAAAACTTATGTTTTACAAAAATATTAAGAAAAGAATTTTCAGGGGATTTTTTTACCAAGAAGCAAAGTGGGTTACTGTTTTGTCTTATTATACGAACATTTATTATATTTTTTTGCTATCAGCTTATTTACTTGCTATCAGCTTAAAGCGATATTATATTTTTGCCTTAACCCTTCGTACCGTCATGTGACAGAACTGTCACAAACCTATTCAATGCTCACAAAATTCAGTGTAGCGTTTTAATTTGTACTTATAAAGTATTGTGACATAAATGTCACACTTCCATTTTTTATAAATTTCGTTCATGAAAAAATAAAATTTCGATTAAAAAAAAAATATGTTTACTTATTTAATAAAAGCTATCAAATACTTCATAAAATATTTTGTGAAGATATTGCGATATGAAGGGTTAAGATTGTTACCAAAATAAAAAGTAAAATGATTTCTATAAATTTTGCATTTATTAATAAATTAATAAACATGTTTATAGTTTGCAAAAACTTATCCCATGGTCACAGTGGGCCAAAAAGCTGTTTTCACGGACATTGGTTCATTATTTTTGAACAGAAAGTGCTATGGGGTATAAAGACTATTTGGAATATAAATTTTGCTTTTTTAATAGGTTATAACAAAAATACGTATAAATGTTTATAAATATGTATGTATATTTTGTAAAACTAACATAGGTACATCGATGACAAAAACAATATAAATTATCTTAAAATAGGTAATTTATTCATATGTTAACATTTTAAAATATGCGTCATCTTGAGATAAAATTTTATTAGAGACATTTTGTTTATGAAAATATTTATCAGAATGTCCTCATTCATATCGAAATTTTCAGAATGGTTTTAACTTGTATCTCTTGTCAAAAAAAATTAGATCAAATTATATCCACATATTTTCAGATGCAGATCTTTTCCAGCTATTCTGAACTATTTTTTTTTTTTTTTTTTGTGCAATTGTTAATTCATCGGAGCCAAGTGCTTCAGCAATTATCAGTATACAACCTGTTATATTTTACAACAAAATGATTTAGACTTGAAATAGTATAAATCAAAATATTTTACAAGTGGAACAATGATAAGTAAAACTATTATATTATTGCTACATATACCACAAAGTCCTCAGTTTTGATTTTTTCTCTTGCAATTTGTTCATTTTAAAACGGATTTTAATGCTGCAATATTTTTTATATAAATGGTTGTACTAACTAGATTAAAGTTGGTTTTAAAAAAAAAGTTCCATTGAAAAAAGGGTAAGAGGATGGGGGAGGGGACTTGATCAGCCCTTTCGTTTTTTCATCCGCAGCGACAGAGTCAAATGCATCGACATTAGCAAAAAAGTCAACATCAATGACTTGGAAAAACACCCGTTCATCAACTGGAAAGGAGCGCTCTCTGCGGCTCAAACCAACCAATGAGAAGTCGCAACATTCAACTCATGACCGTTTCCATATAATTAATAATTTGTCTTCTCCCACTTCACAAAGCAATGCTTCTAAATTGTTACTAAACTGCTTCTTTGCAAACGCCACATCTCTAAATCCTAATAAACTCACCGAACTTGAATTAGCAACGTCCCTCTATGATTATGACACCATTTTTATCACTGAAACATGGTTTAACGAATCCTCAGCACCAGCTATTCCCAACTACAATCTCTTTAGAAAAAAGATCGCTCTAGTCGTGGAGGAGGAGTAGCCATATATGTCAAGAACAGCATTATTGCCAACGAAATTGACTACTCTCAACTTCACATCGGTTTCCAATGCAATTTCTCAGAACAGATCTGGCTCGAACTTAAACTCCCACAAGAATCTCTCCTAATCGGCTGCATCTATCACCCACCTACCAATAATGTTCTGGCCTTTAACGAAATAGTAAAAGCTACGCGAAATCTCCTACTCGAAATTGGCCGTAGAAAACAAAAAGTTTAATGGTCTAATAATCACCGGTGACTTCAACTTTCCCGACGTCATAAGGCATGACGACTGGACCAATACTACCGGCGCTGAAACTAATTTTGGGACTAAATTTGCAAAAATCATTTTTGACCTACATCAACACCAGCACGTTATCAATCCCACCTTCATCCAAGCTAACGGTCTGTTCAAAAATACACTAGACCTTGTAATTACCGAAACAATCGAACGATTAAGCCATATTACTATCGGTCCTCCTCTTGGTAGCGCTTCGCAAGGTCACTGCTCTATGACATGGCAACACCAGTTAGCCAAAAACGTCTGCAACTCTCCCCGTATTAACATCTCAAAATTTATATACAGGAAAGGTAATTACGCGAATCTAAACGAGAAACTTTCCTAAGTCGATTCGGTTAGTTTATTTAAAGACCGATATGCCGACGAATCTTCTGCGACAACTATATCAAATTATGTGACAAATTTATTCAGCGTGTCACCTCCAAACCGGCCAAACACAGGCAGCCTTGACTAACCAGCGAACTTTTTTTAATAATTAAACGTAAGAAAAAACTTTGGTACCTCAACCGCAACAGCAAATGGCGAATCATTCCTCTTGTCAAAGAGTATAACCAAACTCGAAACCTTGTCAAAAAAAGCTTCCTGCACTGCAATTAGAGCATTTGAACACAAATTAGCTAGCGACAAATGGAACCCTAAGCGTCTATACGCTTATGTAAACAACAAACGTGCCGTTAGTAACCAGATAACTTCTATGTGCTCACCCGCTGGGGAAATAAGTAGCAACCACGCATCCATAGCCAATATACTTAACAGCCAGTTCCAGTCAGTATTCACAATCGAGCCATCAGATCAACAACTACCTCCCTTTGTTAAACGTACAACCGCTTTAATCTCCTCCATCATCTTCAGCTATGATTCCGTTCACAAACACCTATCTGCTCTCAACGCCAATAAATCAACTGGAGGTGACGGTATCAGTCCATTTGTGCTTAAAGCAAGCGCTCATGCGGCGGCTACCCCACTCGCCATCATTTTTCAGAAATTGATGGATCAAGGTGTAGTCCCAAAAGCGTGGCTTTCAGCAAATGTGATGCCATTAATCAAAAAAGGCTCCAGACTCGACTCTAAAAACTATAGGCCTATCTCCATCACCTCAGTACCATGCAAAATAATGGAAAAAATTGTTAAAGAAAAGATCATGCAGCACCTTGTAGCTCATAAACTTATTGCCGATTGCCAGCACGGCTTTGTCAATAAAAAAGCCTGCGTCACGAATCTGCTTGAGGTCATGGACTTTCTGACCTACAACGTTTCTTGCAAGCTTCCAGTAGATGTTCTTTTTCTTGACTTCGCCAAAGCCTTCGATAAAGTCCCTCACAGAAGATTACTTCAAAAACTTGAATCCTATGGAATCGAAGGTAACGTTCTTAACTGGATAAAAGCTTTCCTTTCAAATAGATCACAGCGTGTCATACTAGGTAATACGTCATCCACCTGGGTAAAGGTTACCAGTGGCGTTCCGCAAGGTTCAGGGCTAGGTCCTACGCTGTTCATAATATTTATTAATGACTAACCCGAACACATCAGTAGCGAAAACTTATGTAAAATGTATGCAGACGATACTAAAATCCTGAGTGTCGTCAAAACCACTGAAGACAAAGCTCGTCTGCAATCCGATATAGATAGCGTTGTTACCTGGACTCGAACCTGGTTAATGGAACTCAACATCAAGAAATGCAAAGTCATGCATTTCAGTATGTACAATGTTTCCCCAGACATTTATTTAATGAACGAGTGCGACGCTAACGGTAGCGTCACTAGAACAGTAATCGAGTCTTCAACATCCGAAAAAGATTTAGGCGTTCAAATTTCCAACGACTTAAAATATGAGAGGCAAGCACAAATAGCCGCTGCCAAGGTTAATAAAGTCCTCGGGACATTGAAAATCACATTTATAAGCAGAGATACCAAAATATGGAAAAAACTTTACACCACTTATATACGCCCACATCTCGAGTTTGCAGTTACTGCCTGGTGCCTGCATCTTGAAAAAGACATAAATGTCATAGAACGTGTTCAGCTTCAGGTTACCAAAGTACCGCACGAAATAAAGCGCTTCGATTACGAGACAAGATGTATCAAACTCGGTCTCACCTCTCTATTAAATAGACGTTTACGCGGCGACCTCATTCAAAAAATATAAATTCGAAAACAGTATCGACTCAATTAGCTGGCATATAGATCCACCCAACATCCCACCTAGCTACGGTCATCGCAAGCGCTTTCATCGTAAAATGGACAACAACTGCCTCGTTCGCTATAATTCCTTCAACAACCGCGTCGCTCACCCATGGAACGCATTACCTAACGTAGTAGTCAGTGCTACCAGTGTCGATCGCTTCAAAGCAAAATTCGATCAGCTTTAATAATTACTACAGCACATCATCTTCCGTGCAATTTCGCACGAGCTAGCACGGCTAGCTGTTGATGGGCTTACGGAACACGCCCGCTCCGTGTAATTTAACTTTTAACTTAACTTTTAACAGGTATTACATCTAAAAAAAATTTGTGCAAATTTGTTTTCTATAAAGCTAATATTCACATTTCCATACACTGCAGTCTAAGATTGTTTCTACATACAATTATCACATTAGCTCTGCTTATATAGTGACATTTTTTCTTATATAATGCAAAAAATGACTTTTATGTATCATTTATACCTATTGCATATCTTTAGCAACCAATTTGCGTTATTCAAACTATTCGGTATAGTTAAGACGATTTACAAATTATACGAATTCTTTTATTTGGAATTAGCATAGTTTTATCAGCGTATAATGTCCAAACAAGAACTTTAAATGATATAACTTTTTTTGCTTCAAGTTTTTTTTTATATTTAAAGAAACTTTTCTTTTTTTTAATATAATTTTCAAAACCTCTTTACTACCCGTAATAGTGAATCTAAAGAACACCATTTTGGAGTCTTTAGATCGATTCCTATAATGTTCATTTCACCTAAAAAGCGTATTTATTTAAAATCTTATTAAAATTTGGACAAGCGATTTTGATTTTAAGATTTATTTTATGATTCCAAAAAATTTATCATTTTTTTAGTCTCTTCAAAATTCACAGACCTGATCATTTAACGGAAATATGTCGTAGTCAACAAAATATCATACAGACGCTACAATATTTTAAAATTGCCTTAACTACACCGAGTAGTATATTTTCTGAATAAATCGTGCTTTTGAATAAATTTTGTTTTAATTAACTAGAAATTTATTTGGCTTTCCATAATAACTAATTTAAATTTGTTTAGATAACATTGATTTTTGCGCAATGTCCACTGTGAGGGTGGAGTGAGTTAAGGAAATTTTTTTTTTTGAGATTTTAGAAGGCCCAAAAGACATTTTTATTATAATGAATGCAATTTGAAAAATTTACCTAATTTCTCACTCTTCAATACTTCACTCTATTATTTACAAAAAATATGTCTACAATAAATAAGACTGCAGAACCCAAAGAGTAAAGACAGGAAACTAGCGCCGGTCTTCCCTTCTGATGAAAATGATACATCTACAGTACGAATGTTCATAGATGAGGTAAAACATATATATATATCTATATATATATCTATATATATATATATATATATATATATATATATATATATATATATATATATATATATCTATATATATATATCTATCTATATATATATATATATCTATCATATATATATATATATATATATATATATATATATATATATATATATATATATATATATATATATATATATATATATATATATATATATATATATCTATATATCTATATCTATATATATATATATATATATATATATATATATCTATATATATATATATATATATATATATATATATATATATATATATATATATATATATATATATATATATATATATATATATATATATATATATATATATATATATATATATATTTTTTTTTTTTTAGTCAAACGCACTGCCTAATTTGAGCAACATAAAAAAAAAACTTCATAAATATATTTATTATGTAAAAATGAAAAAGTATTCTAAACTTCACAAAACATACAAACCTAGTTACCTAGTTAACTTCAAACAGATTTTACATTGAATTGATAAGTCAAAAAAATAATTTAAAAAATGTTAAAAATTCTTATAGTGAAAAACGATAGAAAGCATAAATAAAAATAAAAAAATACATTTCATATTTTCCTACTCTAAAAGAACCTTTATTTCTAAGTTCAAAATGCCCTAAAAAATATCTGATAAAAAAGTGCTCGTTAATTAGGTTTATTCTTAAAAAGTTCCTCGACCACGTTTGGGTCCGCTAAAGTTGTTGTATCTCCAACGTCACGGTCACCATCTGCAATTTTACGTAATATACGTCGCATTATTTTACCCGAACGAGTCTTGGGCAAACCCGGAGCGCACTGGATAAAATCTGGCGTAGCAATTGGTCCAATCCGAGCACGAACTAAATTATGTTAATATGAAAAAGAAGTATTTACTTTACAAATCTTCTTAAATGTAGCAAGTTAAAAAGTTATATTCCAAAAAACAAATAATTTTATGTTCAACAAATTCCGTACCTTTTTCGTTTAACTCTGATACGAGAGCGTCACAAAAACGAATTCCCTTTTAAAAAAAAAAGAACCACTGTAAAATATATTTACGAATAAAAAACAAGACTTAACACCGAAACAAGCAAAACAAAAATGTATAAAATAGTAACAAATACATTTTTAGGGGTTACAAAGCAATAAATTCCTGTTCCTTTAATACTGTGTGTAAATCCAACAACTGCAGCCTCAGCTACCGAAGAATGTTCAATCAGCGCACTTTCAATTTGTGCGGTGCTTAATAAATGACCAGATACATTCATTAGATCATCAATTCGACCTGTAATCCAATAGTAGCTGTCTTCATCTCGATTGCACCCTAAATTTTATTTGGTAAAAGTTAACAACTTTTTTTTGTGCGTTATTAGACAAAATCAAATCTCTAATCTTACCATCGCCTGCACAGTAATAACCTTTAAAGCGTTCAAAATAAGCACTTTCATATCTTGAATGATTGTTATATAATGTGCGCATCATACCAGGCCAGGGTTGTTTGAAAACCTTCAATATCAATCCAAAATTAAATAGACATGAGATTATATTTAATATCAACGCTCAAAATAAAAAAACAGTCAATGTTCAATGATCGGCAATTTTTTGGTCAACGATCGATGATCGGTGACCGAAACAATGATAATTTCATCTTACAAATCAATAATGGTATAAAAACAAAACAAATATAAAAAAAATAATAATTGCAAGTCAATCTGTTACACTAAAATTTCAAAAACAGAATAAAAAAATAATATATTAACGTTAAAATTGGATTGTATAATCAAAAATAAAGAATTTTTATTCTAAAATATAATAAATTAACTAACAATGAACAAATAAATTTAAAAAAAAAAAAGATTGCTTACCAAAAAACCATGATCTACGATTGTTTTTTCATATTCTTTCCCTTCTTCATCAACAATAGCTGGCACCACACCAAAAAACGGTAAACTCTATGTTCAAAAATAGCAAAATAAAAATAAAAACTTTTTTCTGTGGTAACACTTGAGTGTGTGGGAGTGATTGTATACATTTATAATATATATATATATATATATATATATATATATATATATATATATATATATATATATATATATATATATATATATATATATATATATATATATATAATGAATATATATATATATATATATATATATATATATATATATATATATATATATATATATATATATATATATATATATATATATATATATATATGTATATATATATATATCAGGGGCGGGTTTAGGGTTAGTCTTGTTAGGCGCATTGACTAACATCTTTTTTACTAAACTAAACAACGATCAGGCTAATGGAATATGTTATATATTTTTGAGATTTTTAAAATTAAATAAAATCTTAATTTTTTTGGTCTAAACAGCAATAGCAATTAAACTATGATAAGTATATGCGCACGCAATAGCCCCGTCTTGTAATTTTTTTTCTTTTGGTAGCGTAACTTCGGACCAAGTTAGTCAAGAAATCTTGCGACTTATCTGGCCCGTTTATTCTGCTGACGAGTTTTGAAAAAATTATTGAAGTCCTTTAAATTTTTTTTATTTTTATTGTTCGGTAACGTAACTTAAGGCCAAGTTAGTTAAAAAAATCTTGCGACTTGTCTGGCCCTTTTATTCGGCTGACGAGATTTTAAAAACTTGTTAAAGTACTTTAAATTGTTTTATTTTTGTCGTTCGGTAGCGTAACTTCAGGCCAAGTTAGTCGAATTAAATATATGGTGATTGCCCCCTGACTAATTTAAGAGAAGCCTTTTCTAACAATAATTCTTTGAATGTTTTAAATAACTTTTAAAATTTTTTTGATATGGCATACATTTACAATCTGTAAGGTATTTGCTTGAAAATGGATTTATTGAAAATTTACAAACTCTTTATTCAGAATTTTCAGTAAAGATTTATCTCCTTCATAAGTCAGATTTTTATCAGTTTTTGACGTGCTCTACTCTTTATTGACATAAGTCAATAAAGAGTAGAGCACGACATTCCTCAGGAGTCAAGAACAACTAGGCGGTGAAGTAAGATACACTTTATTTATCCTAACAATTAAAATAAAAAGTTACATTTAAAATTTGTAAACATATTATCCCTGCGTTCGTTTATTTGGGGATGTAAATTTATATAGTAATAATATTATGAAATACATTTTTTGCCTTGATCTAATTGGTTCAACTTTTTACCAAATTGATTTATTGTAATAAATGATTAAATCCAATTTTATTTTCCATTGAGCTTATTGTAGAATCTTTTTTAATTTGAAAATTTTTAATTCCCCTATTTACAGTCTGTAATACAGATCTGATCAGATCTGTTTCAGCCCTGATCAGTTACAGCTCTGTTACAGATCTGATTCAGCTGAATCAACTGACAATTGATTATTTAGCTCATTTTGGATTTATCTGTGTGGTGATGATAATCTGGCAATGGATTTAAGAATACTGACAGCAATTGATTTATATTTAAATGCCTCTTTTTACAGTAATCATCCATTGTTTGTAAGCTTGTGCTCAATGTATCCAAATGAGTTTTCATCAATTGATAATTTGTTAGCAGTGTCTATACCCACACATTTTATAGACCCAGGAAAATTAATGACCTTGTAAAGGAAGAAACATTTCATATGTGTAAAGAATTTTTATGGTCTGTGTTTCTTTGTGTTCTTGCTCTTTCAACTGTGTGTTCTACAAGAGTTTAGTGTTACTATAGAACAGTTCTCTCCGAAAATATAAAGTTATGTTTAATCTTAATATTGAACCTTGTATTCATGTTCATCATCAAATATCGAAACAACAAATTAACAATTTGTTGTTTTGTTCGAAGGCTTCTACTTTGAAAGATTTACAAATATAAAATTTGATTCAAAATGTTTTTTGTTCCTGATGAAACTTCTTTTCCAAAAACAAATGGGCAATCTTTAAAAAATTTTATCATTAAAACAATTTTCATGGCTTAGATATTCACCTTCTGAAGATGGAGCATTTTGTTTATGTTGTGTTTTGTTTAGATATAAATACCCTTCAAAAGCTTCTAGATTTGAAAATTTGTATTCTCAGTCATTCAAATATAGGCCAGATGCTGTAAGCACTTTTTATAGACATTACCATGGGAAAAACGGGAATAATTATGAATATCACTTGACTGAAATATTTATGAACATCATCACGCAGTACAAATTCTACATTATAATGCCTGGACCATATTTTCTGCAGTTTTAAATACTATGAATGGAAATATTTAAAATATAGATATTTTAATAAAGAATAAGAAAAGGAGATTGCTTTAAATTGTAAGAAGTTGTTTTGTGAGAAAATCATATTCTTAGGTCAACTTAATATAGCTTTCAGTGGTCATTGTGATGGTCATTGGCAAATATTCTTTAGTGGGTGGAGTAGGTAATTTTATTGAACTTTTAAAATTCTTGAACTTTATCTTAACAGCTGTGCAAAGAATGCATCTTATATTTATAATTCCTCACATAATTAATTAATAAGTTGTTGTGGAAAGTACATCCAAAATATTTTGATTTCTGAAATAAAAGAAAATCAATTTTTTTCAGTTATTGCTGATGAAGCTTCTGACTGGAATAATTGTCTTTAGTAATTAGATTTATAGACAATTCCTATGATGTTAGGGAAGAACTTTTGTGTTTTTTACATTGTAAATTAGAAACTGAATAAAGGTTTGTATATACACTGTATATACAAATCTTTATTCAGTATTTTTAAGATCTTCTTCAAATAGAAAGTTTGTATAATTTTTAAATTAAAAAATATAATTATTTTATTTTTTATTGTTTTATTTATTTAAAAGAATTATTTATTTTATTTTAGTTGTTATTTTATTTTTCATGAGATTTCATTATTTGAAGTTTACTTTATTGATCATTAGTCAACAGTTTAGAGAAAATAAACACATGTAACACATTAACTGTAAGCATAACTTTGTTTACGAACATTAATATTACAATTGTTTAACATTATATAACATATCTATCAATGGAATAAAATAAAAAAATGGGTTTTTATGGCTAGTTATCATATTATTGCTTTTGTGTTATTGCATTTCTCATAGTATGATAGTCATACTAATAAATTACATTATAATTTTTTTATAATTATGGCATTAATGTTATTGCAGTTGTTTACTTTTACAAAGTTGTTATTCTATTTGCAAGTCACCTAACTATGCAAACTTTGCCTATTTAATTAATGGTTTGTTATATTCCATACAGGTGTATTATTTATATATGTTGCAATTATACACAATAATGATGCCCACAAAATATTTTAATACCACAGACAATATTTTATTTTTGTAGATTTAATGGATCCTTGCTAGTTTTAATACTATATATATATATATATATATATATATATATATATATATATATATATATATATATATATATATATATATATATATATATATATATATATATAATAATATCGCTATATCTTTAACTATATCTTCGATTGCAAAGCATTATTTAATCGTATAATAACTTGTGAAAAGCAGAGCACTTTCACTTTGTACTTTTTGAATTAAAAAACTACATACCTAGAAAAAATGTTTTAATATTTTATTATAAATTAATCATACTATTTATTAAACTTGTAATTTAATAATATTATAGTAGTCTGTTTTTACTTAGTTTGTTGTGTCTATTTTTTAAATATGCAACGCCATTCGAGCTGCTTTTTTGAAGGCTTTGCAAATAACTTATTTATCAAACAAATAGGGTAGGTACTTTTTTATGTAATTCATCTTTATCCCCCCCCGTCTATTCGTGGGGAGGGGGCGGTAAAATCCGCAACCGACTTTTCTGACTAACCTCTTTAAAAAGCTAAACCCGCCCCTGTATATATGTATATACATATATATATGTATATATATATATATATATATATATATATATATATATATATATATATATATATATGTATATATATATATATGTATATGTATATATATATGTATATGTATATGTATATATATATATATATATATATATATATATATATATATATATATATATATATACATATATATATATATATATATATATAAAGCTTATTTTTGATTTATAGATCCAAGTGTTAAAAAGCTTACAGCTGATCCTGGTTTCATAGGAGTTACTCCGGGCAATCCTGTGATCATATGACCTCCCTAAAATAAAATAAGTTTAAGTATTAGAGATTGTAGATTGTAATAAGCAGCCAATTTTATGACAAAAAAAACTAATCTTTAAAATAAAAAATTATACATTATATTAAAAACTTTGATAAAATAATAAAGATAAAAAATAACAAATATGAGAATACATGTTTAAATATTTATACATTATACATCATTTATGTAAGAACTACTTCAAATTTTTGGTTATGGACAATTAATTTTTTTTTTTTAATTGTTCTAACTATAAATATGAAACCTGTTAGTAATTTGTTCAAGAGATTAATGAACTTAATTACATAAACTGTGGGTAACTGGTTGAAAAAGACTGACAACCATTTTTAAATGACTTCATATATATACATCTGTTCTTTTAAACTTACTAAAAAAGTGTTGTGCTTTATAAATTGTTACATTAGATAATTCTTACAATAAGCTTTCACTAAATCAGAAGTTTGGGTTTGTGATCAGGATGTTGATTTTTTCAAAATTTATAATACTAAATAAACATAAAAGATATTTAGATTGTAAAAGACTCTAAAATAAAAATGTAAAAGAAAATGATTGTTTTACAATAAAAACATCAAAATGACAGTTTTTCTGTATTTTTGGTTGTATTTGAAGTTGCACTCTTGCATAAGACACAAATATAGTCCTTCTCATTGCAACAGCCTCAGTACCTCTGCTCTATCTTAGTGGAACCACTCAACTTGTTCTTGGAAGAAATTGCCTATTTTGTCCAAGAATTTATCTACTTAAGAGTCTAGCATAAAATTTTTAAAGAGCATTCTTTATAGACAGCTCTATCACTAGTTTCAGAACTGCCTCAAACAGCTTGAGTACATTATGGTAAAAGCCATCCCTGAGAGCAAAAACTATAGAAAAAAATTGTGTGGTTTTTTCTGACTAGTAACATGCATCTTTTTTTTTAACCAAGTTCCAATACTTCATTCTAGAGATAAACAATTTTGCATTGGGCTTGGTCAGGTCCATAGATGTCAGATGTCAGGTCAGGTCCATAGAATCCTAGATGGATTACATAACTTTAATTATATTTTTTTACCTCTAAGTACCTACTATTTAACAACTATCTATCTTTTACCCATCAAGTGTCTTCTTACAATGCTCACAACAGCAATGAAGAGCTTAGGGTTTCTCATGGTCTTCATCGGACATCTAAAATTTTTTTTGGCTTCCCAAATCTTTACCAAACCTTCAATAGAGAACTTTTTATTTCTTTTTTTTAAATATTCACCACATATATATCTAAAACTTCTTAAAACCATCTGAAAAAATTTAAATAAGCTATAAATCTAAAAATTTCTTTAAGTTATTTTGATAAAACTTAGAACCAAGCTTTTTTAGCTGAACTTTCAATAATAAAATTGATTGCAGAATATAAATTGCAAAATATAAAATAAATTTTATCTCTTAAGTAAAAGTAATATTAAAAAAGTAATTATTTTCAACAAAATAAATTTAAAAGATTCAGGGTGTAAATATCCAAATAGTTCAAGGTGTAAATATCTAAAATTAATACTTCTTTAATTCTCTTTAAAAATTATTGTAAGTTTATGATTTTAATTAAGCCTATAAAGAGTTAATAAAAAATTTACTTTAAGTAAATAAAGCAATTTTTAATTTAATATGCAATAATTGTATAATATAATAGAAGTACTTTCTAAACTAAAAACTAAAACATAATTCAGTTGTTTAATGCAAATGATTATTGCAATATTGGTATTCCTATATTGACAGATGGCAAATTTTCTTATAGTAGGCTTTTACAGGAAGGCCTGCAATCACACACTATTATATGACCATGCAAATAATATTATGTTTTGACAATTTGAGCATGGCTTTTAACATGTTTTCAAAATTCCTAGACTAAAAATTACCTAGACTTAACTAATAAAAAACTTTATTTAAAAAAAAAAAAAAAAACCTTATTAAAAAATAAAATAAAAAAACTTGACTAAAACACAAAAAACAAAAATATTACTTAAACAAACGCAGTTTATTTATTGTCAAAAGTTTTTCAATTATGCTTGGAATAATAAATTTTGTATCTTTTATCTGTACTAATGTTTATATAATATTATGGGAAACCCTTAAACTAAAGAAACAATTTACTTCTAGTGATTGTTTAAAAAAAATTGCACTTAATTTAAATTGCAGTGTTTTCCTTTTACTAATTTAAAAATGTAAGTTTCCATGTAAACACATTATAGTAAATAACTAAGCATTTAAAACCATTTCAATTTTTGTTTAAACATTTATACCTTAACATTGTATTTATAAACACTTTTTTATTTTTTTTAAATTTATTTTAAAAGAACATTTATCATTAAAAAAAAAAACATATATATAAATAAATACATACATTTATATAAATAAAAAAAGCTATATATAATATTCATTAATACTTTATATAAAAAATCATTAGCAATGTTTTAATATTTCATTAAAAAGTATTTCAATAATATAACAGCATTAAAGATCTTATTTAATTGTAACAGCTTTCAAAACATTTGTAATTTTTAAAAGATAATTTTTTTTTTTAAATCTTATTAAGTTTATAAAACTTTAATGGTTCTTATATAAAATTCATTAAAGAACTTTTATTGTCTAAGAAAGTCATCATTTATAAAACAAAAAAAAAAAAAAATTATACTTTAATAGTGTTTATTATAAAAAATGCATATTATATAAGTTAAAAAATAGATACACATCTTTTAAAAAATCATAATCAGTAAATTGTTATTTTATTTAAATGTGTTTTGCTAATATAAAAACATTATTAAAGATAAAAGTTTCTTTACTATGCCATTTAATTCTCAAAGATATAATTAAGAAGCTTTTTCATTCAGTATGTTTTTAAAATGTTTTTTGAAATAGCTGTGGTCAAATCTTCAAAGCAAAATATTATTTGCCTGGTCATATAATGGTGTGTGATCGCACCCTTTCCTGTGAAAGCCTATATAGTCTTCTCTACTCTTCTCAAATAAAAACTGATCTCTCACAAAAACTATATATCCAATTGATTTTAAAATTACCATCTGCTAAAGTTGCCTTTGTGTGACATTTTCTTACTTCTGATTCTCATTCATTTCAAAAACGAATTGCAAACATAGTTAGACCTGCACTTACTTTCCAGCTTGAGCTGCATTGTCTCATCGTCATAAGGTTTAACTTTTTTTTCCTAAAAAATCTTTTTCCAACATTATAGTACCATGGTTGCTGCACAAGCAAGCTTTACTTTTTTATTCCTTTAACCAAAAACTGAATTTGTCATAATGTTGAATTCTTTTACTGAAATTGTTGTCACACTTAAAAAACTTTTATTTAGTTTTTTATTACTCATATGTTGGTACTTTTTTAAGTCTTATGACAAGCAGAAGCATTTTCTTGCTTTTTTATTATTATTATTATTATTGCTTTAGATGCCCCAAGAAGTCCTTACAGTCTTGTCACAGAGCACCATCGAAGAGCATTTAACTATGAAAATCATGCATTTCTTACTGATAACGTATAATATACCCTGAGCTTATTTGGAACCCTGGTTTTCTTATTTCTAAAGCAAATGTTCTAACCATTGTGAATTTACTGCTAACAAAGACTTACACAGTTTGTTAGAAGTGAATTCATTTAAAAAATAATATATTTAATAGATATTAAAATTTATCCTTTTTTAAAAATGACTTTAAATTAATTTTTTTTTTAATTCTTTTTAAATTCTTAAAGGGATCCCCAACTGCAGAGACAAGTGGTGTTCATATTAAAGAAAGTTTAAAAAAAACATTTGGGCTGAATTTTTTTGATTGAAACTAAATAATGAACGCATAGCAACAAAATTAAAATTATTGTTTTAGTCGAAACTCGTTTTCTCCCTTTTTTTTTTGGTTCTCGGAGTCTGTATAATGTTAGCTGCAATCTGCAGACTTGATTATTTGTTCCATGTGTGTTTAATTCAGTTTCGGTATATGATGTCATCGCAATATCTTTTTAAGATAGCGTTTTTTTGTTGTAGATATAAATATTTTTTCTACTACAATCAGAAAATCAAATACGATTGTATTGTATAACTAAACCACAAAAAATATTTTGGATTTAGTAAAAAATTATACAAATATATATATATACATATTTTCATATTTATAATTTTTTTTACTTGCTTTACTATTACTTTGTTTTAAAAGCCAGCCAAAATCATGTCACAATTTTACATATTTTGTGATTATTAGAGTTCGCAGTAAGAGAAAAAATAAAGGCTGTATGATGCGGTTTCTCATTTTATATTTAGTTTATATGTTTTAATAGAGTTGTTCACTTTATGTTTAATTTACATTTAGTTATGGTTTAACTCTTTCACTACCGCAAGCCTCTGGTAACGGCTTTCGAGTATGCTATACAATTTGTCTTGTTTTGTACATAAATTTCCATTCTAGACACAAATAATTTGTTTTTAAGATTTAATTAATTCTCTACATAATCAAGAAAAAATAAGAGCTATATTGTGTAATTATAAAAAATTCTTTTTTCAGTATCTTGTTTATATTGCTTGTATTGTTTAAACCAGTACAATTTACTGCAAATATTTGTTATATATTAAATTTTTGTTTTTGTAAAATTTATAAATTTAACTTTTAATTGTATCATGAACTTTTTTTTGGGATTTAGTAAAAAGATATACAATTAAAATGATTTGGTGATTGTGGTAAAAAAATAATACAATATCTTAGAAGAAAAAATTTATACAATGACATCATATACCGAAACTGTTATGAATTAAACACGCACAGAATAAGTTATCAAGTCTGCAGATTGTGGCTAATATTATAAAGTTTACTATAGTTTTTAGTTTTTATAAAAAGCTCAGAACTATGGCAGGGTGTTAACCAGGAATATATATTTTACAGCAATTTTGCAATACTGTGAATATTTATTGTTATTGTTCTACAAAATAATAGGAATTTTATTTGAAATTGTTTTATTACTTTTAAATAAAAAAGTCATTGAATTTTGAGAATTTTAAATGCATAGAGAATTCAATGGTATACACTGAGCCATTGGGCTACCTAACACCATGTATGGCTACTTTATAAAGTTCTGAGTTTCTATAAAAAACTCAGAACTAGGTATACTAACCTTTCCTTTATGAATAGTTCTAGTAATGTACATATTATCTGTTAAAGTATTTGTTATAAAGACTATCAATTTTTATATTTAGAATCAATAACAAAAAAATTAAAGAAATTTTATTGCTGAAAGCTTAAAAACTGGTTTATTGAAAACAAAGGGAAAGCAGTAAATGTATAGTGCCTGTCAAATACATTTTGCAGGTTCTTTTAATAAGACTTATCAAAATTTCATAGAATTATTTTAATTTGTTCAACTTGTCAAAAAACAAAAGTAATTTTTAGTTGTTGCTTTGTTATTGAATATGTAGTTAGGCTAACTAAGCTAACTATATACTTAGGCTAACTGAATAAACGTAATGCCAAGATATAGATTCAAGTAGGTTTTTAATAGGTATTTAATCAATATATTAAAATCGATGAACTCTGAATAGAGTTTAAATAACATAATTAAAATATTTTATTTTTGATTTTCATGAATACATATTTTTATTAAGTATAATTCAATATAATTATATATAGCTTACAGTCTCTGTTTGCCAAAATGTGTCAACAATATAGCATCTTTCTTCACCAACCACATTATAATACCATAACCATGCTTCTGGATTAATGGGTTCTCCAACAGTACCAAGAACAGTTAAACTTGATCGATCATACCTTAAAAAAAAAAAGCTTTAAAAGTTGCTTCAAAAAGGGTTATTAGCAAATATCACTAAACATAATTGATTTAAATTAAAGTCATTGATATTACAATAAAATATTTTATACTTGATCAACCAGATTTTAAAATTGATTATTCAGGTTTTAAACTTTATTATTCAGACTATTATCTCCTTGTTATAAAGTGTACAAATTGTTGATAAACCTAATAAATCTAAATGCTATTACTCAATATGATATTTATTTTATAAGTATGATTGTAAACAATACAAACACTATACAAGTCCAAAGCTTTGTTAAACATGATTGCAAATAGCACCTTTGAAACATTTGAAACCAAAAAGTATTCCTTATTTACATTAAAAATTTTTTAATTTCTTACCATAAGTTGTTTCTAAATTGTTAAATATTTATTATCATCAACAATATAATAACAAGCAATATGAAAAACAAACCAATATAGTTTCTGAATAAATAATATATCATAGATTATCCAGACCATATTTTAAAAATCCAGAAAACTGTTTGGGTAAAATATCGACAATACAATTTCCTCTTAATTTTGCTTTCAGCTGAGTTGTTTCTAAATTTTTTATTCAAACTTTTCTTAGCTTTGTATAAGTGATAAGTAAAAATGCTTAAAAAACAAATATATTACAAAATTATTGTATGTTTGTAAAACGTTTTGGGGTATCCAAAACTAAAAGTTGATAAAAATATCAGATATTCTGGAAATATCCGAAACAAGATAATCCTTGATATATGCATGTTAAGTTATTAGGCACAAAACCCTACTTCTTAAAAGGATGATTTAAAGTATTTAATTTTTTTGATTTATAAAAATTATTTGTTTATTAATATAATTTATATATGATTAGTTTTTGACCAATTGATGCAAATTTCAAATCAATTTTTAATCAATTATTAAAACAAGCTTTTTTTTTCAAATAAAAACAACCAAAGGCCAATAAAATACAGATTTTTAAATCTTCTTTTATCTGTTAAAAATTTATTAATGATAAAATTGAATCATCTAACAAAGAAAGAGATTGTTCAGTTTTTAGATATCAAAAGTTAAGAGAACAATCGAAAAAACATTTTTGAAGCTTATTGATTGCTACCTATTTGGTCAAATGGTCAAAAAAATTTATACATAAAATGTGTTCAAGAGACTACGTAAGCATAGTGAGTAGGTAGTCTCCTAACAGCTATACAATTATGATTTAAAAATTAATATTGTAAATATATTTTTTGGAAGTCTGGCATAAAAACTTTACGGTTAGCACATATAACTACTTAGGTAGCATATTTGGGCTGTGATCACTACCAAGAGTTGATTTTAAACTTGTCATGGAAATCCATAATAAAAAAATCATCTAAACTCAGTTAAAAACTTTGAACTTGGGTAAACATTTATTTATAAAACCTTGAATCTGGAGAAACTTTTATTTATAAAACTAAACTTTGAACTTGGAGAAACATTTATTCATAAAATAAAACTTCTGTGAAAATGTTTTAGAAGTTAAGTTGTGTCAAAGCCCAAAAATAGAAGTTAATATTTGAGGTGTTTTATATAAAAGACACTTTAATATCAAATGGTATTATAAAAGAAAAATCACAATACATAAAAAAAAAGAAAAAAGGGCGACACAGCTACACAATGTGGTCAGTTAAAAAAAGATTTGTCACTCAACACCAAAAATTATTAAAAACCATTTTCATTATCACTAAACAAGATTACTAATAGTATCAATTATTGTTTAACAATACCAAATACTGTTAAACATAATTGTAACACTCTTATGACCAATGATTTTCTATTATAATTATTGAACTTAACTTTTGATTATTAGCAGCATCATTTATAAATCATATGAATAAAAAATTTAATTTAAACTTTTCACTTGTTAAGAATAAAAGTATCAAAAATTATAAAATGAAACTTTACTTCTTGACAAACTCTCTTCCATACTTCATCAACAATCGAATGGCAGTTGGCGCAGTATAAAACTTAGAGACTCGATACTTTTCACAAATGGACCACATTCGACCAGCATCTGGATAAATTGGGAGACCTTCGAACTAAATGTATATATAAGCATATTTTAACATTAATATAAATAAATACAATATAATAATGTATTAATAATTATTAAACAAATTATAAGAAAACAATTTTTAAAAATTTTAAAAATTCTAAAAATAGAAAAAAATAGTAACAAAATAAGATTTTTCCTACATCGAAAAAACATATACTAACAATTAATTGATAATATTATTGTTTTTTGTATATATAAATATACAAAAAACAATAATAACAATTTTTATTATAAATATTTCAAATAAGAAAAATTACAAAAAAGCCAATAATAACAATTTTTATTATAAACATTTCAAATAAGAAAAATTACCAACTAAAAATTGAAAAACAAAACTTTCATACTTTTTTAAAACAACAATTTGTAATTATACAAGAACATTTTATATGTTTCTTTTGAGGATAGTGTACTTTAAAAATTTTATTTGGGGGAAAATATTAGAGTAGCAGTTAAAAGTAGAAAATATTAGAAAATTAAGTTAAAAAGAAAATATTAGAAAATATCAGTCAAATGCCAAATATTAAAACGAACAGCTAATTTATAGGACCTTGCACATAACCACTAGTATGTTATTTACTGGAAAATTTTATTTTTGCTTTGTTAACTACTTTTTATATACATTTTTATTTAATTTTTCAAATATTTAGTTTTTATCTATTTTTATATATAGATATTTTAATTTAACCCTGAAATAATAAAATGTTTTTCACAATGATGATATATATTGTCAATATATTATTATTATTATTATTATTATTATTATTATTATTATTATATATATATATATATATATATATATATATATATATATATATATATATATATATATATATATATATATATATATAAATTGGAACAAAAAAAGGATGTAAAAACATTTTTCAATAAATCATACTAAAACACTTGTTGCGCCATTAGCCATTGGACCATAAACAATATAAGAATGTCCTGTAATCCACCCTATATCAGCAGTACACCAATAGATATCTTCATTGTGGTAATCAAATGTGTACCTAAAAATATTAGGATTTTAAAACATTTAAACAAATAATTAATATCTCATCAGAATTTAGAACTATTATACAAATGATTCATAAAACTGTGCAAGCTACTTTTAACTGCATTTAGCTACAACTTTATAATTTACTGAAAATATTTAAAAACCCTCTCTAATGTGTATACTAAAATCTAGTAGACAAATTATAGAAATAATTTTTTGTTTAATTGTGGAACCTCTTATAATATTTAAAAAAACAACAACATGGACTTGGTTCAGGTTCTAATTCAGGTGTCATCCTGTTTTACTAGCAATACTGATGTTAACAACAAAAAAAAAAAAACAAAAAAAAAAACAAACAAACAAACCATTACACATAAATATAAAATATCTATTTAGATATCTGTTAAAAGAGAAAAATAGAAAAGAAAGGAAATATTTTAGATAAAAATATAAAAAAATGAAATACAAAAAGTAGTAGTAGTAGTAGTAGTAGTAGTAGTAGTAGTAGTAGTAGTAGTAGTAGTAGTAGTAGTAGTAGTAGTAGTAAGAGTAAAAAGTAGGAATCTTACTTAAATGTAGTAGCTGTGTAAATCATATATCCTCCGACAGTATGCACAACTCCTTTTGGTTTGCCTGTTGAACCACTTGTATATAATATAAATAAAGGATCTTCGGCATCCATCCATTCACATTCGCACTCATCATTAACATTTTCCATTACATCATGCCACCAAACATCAATGTTAGAATTCCAACTTGTCTAACAAAAGACAACAAACAGTTGTATGCATATACATGTAATGCATACACAAACATATATGCAAATATTAGCATTGATGCTAGCATTGCATCCATGCTAATATTTTTTATTGCCAATTGAGCGCTTATATTCTAAGCAAGAATTACTGAGCTTAAAAAAAACTATGTAGGTAAAATCTCCAGAAAAAATCTAGAACATTTTTCCCATTATTTTACTCTAAATTTTGCATTTAGTACACCTTTTGAACATCTAAAACATTTGAAGACATTAAAAAAAAAGTTTAAAAAAACGTTTAAAAGGCGTCTTTTTTACATTCTATGCCCACTGGGTATTATAATTTTTAAGATACAGTAGAATCCTCTTAACTCGGACTCTGAAGTAATATATATATTTTGTTTGACTTAGTGAATGTTTGAATTAAGCAAAGCTTTTGTTATGTCAGGAAATGTCAGACATCAAAATTTCATTATGTTCTGAAAATGTCAGACATCAAAATTGAAGTCAATGAAATCAAATTCAATCAAATTTCTGTGTCATTCTCATCATTGAGAATGACACAGAAAAGTTTTAGTGTTATGTATTTAAAAGCCACATTCAATATGCTTTATCCAAATTCTCATTTAGAGAAACTAGTATCTTGACTCATTTCGCAGAAGTTTTATTTTTTTTGACTTCTGACTATGTGTTTTTTTCTTTTGACCATCCAGACAATGTTTAAATAAATTATCAAATTTTTATTATTTATTAAAAATGACCTTAGACATTTTTAATAAAACAAACTTTAATAGAAAATTAACAGAATTGAAGATATCAGTAAAAAAATTTAGTTTGTTAAATTATATTTGATGCAAAGGTATCTAACTTTTGAAGGTTTTGAGTTTTAAATTTTAACTGATGTTTTATATTTTTTATATAATATTCATTAATAAACAGAAGTTAATTGAAGCTTAACCAAATCAAAGATATCAGTGAAAATGTTTAGTTATGTTTAATTATCTTTGGCCCAAAGGTATTTTATTTTAGAGCGTTTAAAGTATTGGAATTTATGTTAGTATATGCACTTTTATCCAATTAAAAAAAAAGTCCTAGTTAAGCTAGTTAAGCAAAGTTTTTTGCTGACCCCAAAAAAAAGTATGAGTTGACAAATGGTCTGACTTAAGGGGATGATTTTATTGTAAGTTAAAAGAGAAAGTTTAGAGGGAATTGAAAATTTGTTTGACTTATTTAGGGGCCGAGTTAACAAGATTCTACTGTATGAATAAGCTTTGATCATTAAATCGCCCATCAAATATTTAACAGCATAATATCAATATAAAAATAAAATATAAAACAATATATGTAATACTGTAAGAATGTTTCGATATGTAATTTAGTTTTTTTTTTAATAAAGCATATTAAGAAACGCTATTAAAAGATAGTATATTTTTGAATACAAAATCATTAATATATACATTTTTATTATATTTTGGCAACACTGTAACTGTTAATAAAGCTAATAAATATAGAAATTCAATAAATAATTCATTCAACATATTAGTTAAACAATAAATAAATAATAGTTGTCTACAATAATATAAAAAAAATATTTTATTCCTTAAAAAAAACAAGAACCGAGAGCCGGTCGTTTTTTTGCAGATCTGGCTCCAGCTTCAACCCCACCAAAAAACAAGGCTCTACAGCTCCGGTTCCACAAGTCTGGTACTCAAATGTCTTACATCTAGCACAAGCTAAGTCATATATAACATCTGAATATTTCCAAAAGAAACCTTAAGAAGAAAAGTATTTTGAAGAAAGTAAAAGTAATTTTAATGTTTAAAATTTTTTAAAGATTTAAAGATTTTAAAAGTATTTTTTACATTAAAAAATAATTTTACCACAATTATTTAGAAATTGATCAAGACATTTTAAAATAAGTAGGTTTCTACTTAATTCAAATAGATTTTTTTAAATAGTTTTATATAAAAATATTTTAATTTGAGTTTACATTAGTGAAGAAGAATGCAGATTTTTCTGTGGAATTTATTTAGATTATCAGGACTTTTAGCTCAGTATCGTTAATTTTATATACTTGATCTATTTAGGTTTTAAATTTTTTTTAAACTGAAAATAAAATGAGTACATTATTTAGTTAATAAGTATGGTTTTATTGATAGTATGAGAAAGTATGGATTAGGTCGAGGTTGTCACGTGATTGTAATGTTACCTTCACATTCGAAATGGTAGTAGCCGTGAGTTGTTCTGAAAACGTAAACATTGAAAAATGTTTTAAAAAATCGTTTAATTTATTTTTTTTTCTTTTGAGTTTTAATAACAATCTAAAAAATTTTTTCGCTGCTTTTTATTTCTAAAAACCTAATTGAGCTTTAGTAAATAATAAATTATTTTTATTAGTAAGTAACTCTTTTAGTAAAATGTTTACACTTTAATAACTATTTTATATTCTTTTTTTAAATTTTTTTTACCAAAAGACAAATTACATATTTTGATTTAAAGACTTGTGTAAATTTATTTTTATTGATGCTGAACCAAGAATAACTAGAACAAGTAAGATTTTCTTTACAAAAGTTGCATCTCAACTTGATACTAAAGTAACTGATCACTGTTGTAATCTAATAAGTTGCAACATTTGTATTTATATTCAATTTTCTTTTTGCATAAACATATTACATTACCTATTTTATAATAATTTTGCAGGTTTTAAAGGGCAAAGCACTGCTATTTCACTGGCTGTAGAGGCAACTGCTCATCATCATTTGATCATCATATGAAAAAGTTAGTGTTTTAAATTTCTAACAAATCAAAAGGTGATGGACTTGTGGATTCGTCAAATTCTTCAAGAAATTTTAACACAATCAAATAAAACTGTTGTTTTATGCGAATTCTGCAAAAAACTCCATTATTAAGACTATCCATGTTTATTAGAGCTGGACTAAAATCCACTCCCCCTCCTTGTATTTGGCAGACAAGGCATTGTCAGAATTAAGCTAGGTCTTTTTAATGATGTTCTTTCTCTTTTAGATAAAGATAAATAATGTTTTGTAAACATAGTTGAACTTGATTTAGAAATCAAGTTTAAACTATGTCACATGTTGGTAAGTAGAAAAAGAGATGATAATTGACAAAGAAATGCAATAAGATTATATTTCTTTGTTAATTATCATCTTTTGTTCTAAATACCAACATTCGATCTTATATGAGTCCTCATTCAAAGTTGAATCATTTAACATTTTAAAAAATTTGAATCATAGTTGACATTTTAAAACATTATTAAAAGCAAAAAATTTTTTTTGTTTGTTCCTAGAATTCGTTTGCACTTGAAAGCAAGTCTTTTAATCGATTAACTTTAAATGCAGTTTATAAATGAATTGATTTGCAAACACATAACTTTTGAAGTTTGGAAGAGCCATTTTTCTGTTAACCCTCAATGACTTATTATTGTTAACCCTGCTAAAACCATTAACTAATGATGATGAGGCTAAGCCAGCACATATCTTCCATGCTTAGATTCTAATAGCCATTTGATACTTTTGATCTAAAGATAACATTTTTTTCTTGTTAAGACTATTAAAACTTGAATAATTGATTATTAAATTTAAAATTTCAAGTAGTAATTATTCAAGTTACTTGAAATTTTAAATTTAAGTATTAAATTTAAAATTTCAAGTAACTTGAATAATTGATTATTAAATTTAAAATTTCATCATGAAACAGAAAATATTTGTAATGATTTATGAGATTAAACATGTTTGGTCTCAGTTCAAGTGAATTTTTTGTAAAGTGATCATAAATTTGCTATTTACTGTTCCTATTCAAAAGGAAATTCTTTGGAATAGAAATTGACCATTAAAATTATCCAGCTTATTCTCCATAAAATCTTTGATTTTCCACACTTCTTGCAAAATAATTATATCAATACTATCATAAACAAATTTCTTTATAATTTCAAAATTACTACTAAGACTGCATATATTTATACAAAAGCATATTAAACGGTTTATATTTTTGTGTTTATCAATCATTTTTAGTAAAGTCGTGCTACTGACATTGTGATTGTTATTGATACTATTGATTATTTTGTACCTTTTTGTAAAAAAACGTGTGCACGTTATTTTTATTAATTGTTATTTTGATAACTTTTTTAGACTTAAATGATGATTAGATTTTCAGGGCTGATTTTCAGATTAATTTTTTAATTTATTTCTCTCTGCAGTTAATAATTTTTTGCTATCTTTTTACACTAAGGTCATGGTTATTATAAACTTTATTTCTATATTCTTTATTTTATTCAATTTGCTGGCTTCTTAAATTACTGCTTGAGCAGAATGCTTATCATTCATCTCAGCCATTATTATTCCTGGCTTTTTACTATTTAATTTAAAACAATGATGATGCATAATTTTGTTATTATCAAGTTACAGTGCAGCAAAAACTTAGTTAGGTACGTTTTATTGTCCACTACATTTTTGATTTACACCAGTTTCTTTCAATTTATTAACACCATAAATTACTAATTTTTTTTCTCTCTTTATTTATTCAAAAGTTTCTACAGAGAAAGCATTTAGAATCATAGCCCTTTTGTTTTTAATCTTTGGTTAACTAGTAGTAAAGACTGCTAAACAAACCTTAACAACTATTTTTCCATTTTCTAATTCAGCAACACGCATTTAAAAAGTTCTTTCCGCTCAGTTAATTGTGTATTAAAATTTAAAGTGTTACAATTTTCTTATCTTTGAAATCAAGGATTGATTTCAAAGATAAGAAAATTGTTATAAAAATAAACTAAAAATGGTTAGAATTTGAATTTTAACCATTTTTAAATTATTTTTAAATTTTTTTTATCATAGCCCTTTTGTTTTTAATCTTTGGTTAACTAGTAGTAAAGACTGCTAAACAAACCTTAACAACTATTTTTCCATTTTCTAATTCAGCAACACGCATTTAAAAAGTTCTTTCCGCTCAGTTAATTGTGTATTAAAATTTAAAGTGTTACAATTTTCTTATCTTTGAAATCAAGGATTGATTTCAAAGATAAGAAAATTGTTATAAAAATAAACTAAAAATGGTTAGAATTTGAATTTTAACCATTTTTAAATTATTTTTAAATTTTTGTACAAAGTTAAGTACAGCTCCTCCACTTGTCAATGGTTAATTTGAATTGATGATAATGAACAAATGACCTTGTTTATAAATAAACTTGTTTATAAACAAACTTGTTTATAAAATAGTTTTTAATTTCTGAAGTCATAAGTATTAAATAAAAAAATGACTTGTTCACAGATGCAATGATCCCTATCATTCTTATTAATATTCTGTTCAAATAGAGTAGTCACCACACAGAACAGATTTAAGCAAATCAATTTTAATGCACCTTTTTTCAGTGCTTTTAACTTTTCATTTATAAATTTCTGAATATATTAAATTCATATACTCAAAAATCAACTCAATATATACTCAATAAAACAGTATTATTATATTAAAATACAACATTATACATTCTAATAATAAGATATGTAATATTATTTGACAATATATCCTATTATTATTATAATGCTATTTCTCCAAAGAACGTTTTAAACATAAATAAAAAAAAGAAATTACAGTCTCGTCCTTGGATCTCTTTGTTGAGGAGCATTCATCAAAAAGATTTGTTTTTATATTTTTGACAACAATACACAATGAAACAACAAGTCCAGCTTCTGCACATTCTGCAATAGCAACATCAGCAACTGATTTTAGGTCAAGTTCTTTAGTTCCTCGACAACCACCATCTGAGTATTTAAAATTACTTTATATAAAATATGATAAAATTTTGTCATAATGTTATATAAAAATTCTGAAAAGTCTAGAAGTATTTCTAAAAAAATCAATTTAACCTTTATTATTCTTACTAAAGTTTGTTATTCTTATTAAAGTTTCTTATTAAAATGTAATGGAAGTCTTCATATCTAAACACTTAACACTCTTAAACTGAAAATTAAAAATAGTTTTCAACTTGATTTTTCTTTTAAAAAAAACCCGCCTAAAACCTGATCCAAATATAATCCAGATTCTTTCAAGTAACTTAAGTACTTGAGTAACTGTATAAAAAGTTCACTTACTTAAAGGAATCCCAAAGTGCCAAGACAAGTTGTGTTCATTTTAAAGAGAATGATAAGAAAAAAAAAATGTTTGGGCAGAATTTTTTTTAGTAAAACAAAATAATAAATGGATACTAACAAAAACATATTATGGATACTAACAAAAACATATATATTCTGAATCTTTTTTCTTTTTATGTAAACAATGTTAACTTTTTTTTTAAGCCGTAACTATGACATTTTTGATAACTATGACATTTTTGTCCTCTTATTAAAATGACATTTTACAAATTCTTAAATTTTTAATTAATAAAGAATTTTGGTAAGCAACATCATCAGGGTTCCCACAATCAAAACTAAGGCTAAAAGTAAAGATTTTAAGGAGATATTTTCCTAATATTTAAGGAGATTTGATCGAGAATGAAAATTTTTTGAAAGTAAGGAGAATTAAGGAGAAAACAATTATATTAAAAACAGAATCTTATTTTTTTTCAATAAAATTTAAATATAAACTGAGAAATTATTATAAATTAATATATTACTTTATATATATATATATATATATATAAATATATAAATATATAAATATATATATATATATATATATATATATATATACATATATATATATATATATATATATATATATATATATATATATATATATATATATATATATATATATATATATATATATATATATATATATATATATATATATATATATATATACATATATATATAAAATAAAAATATAGGTTTCCAAACTATCAAAGAACTATACATTTTCTTCTTTATTAATAAGTATAACACAGGTCAACAATTTATTTTTTCTAATATCTCTATGAAAACACGCTTCTTTTGAGACCCAGGTTGAATAACTTTTGAATAATTTTTTTTTTGATAATATAAGGGATTTTCCCCTAATACTAAAGATTTGAACCCAAATATCTTTATAACTTGATGTGATGGAGAAAAATGAGTTGCATATTTGAAATCAAAATGTAAAATGCTATACGGAAAAAAAATTGTTTGCTCAGCACCAGAAAAAAAAAATTCTTTTTTGATCTGTGTAATCCATTCACTTTAATAAAATTTCCCAAATGATTAAAAAAAAACAAAGGAGAAATTACTATACACTTCTAAAAATACTTATACACTTCTACAATTTAACTTTTACAGTGTTAACGCCGCTTTATTTTACAACTAAATTTAAAGAAGTTTTTTTTAATCAAGGATTACTCAAGATTTTTTAACTTTGCAAAGAGATATCTTTTTATAATAACACAATATGGCTCTCGTTTGGTCTTGATTATGTAGAGAATTAATTAAACCTTAAGAACAAACAAATTATGTGTCTAGAGTAAAAATTTATATACAAAACAAGATAAATTGTGAAGCATACTCGAAAGCTGCTACCAGCAGCTTGGGGTTAAAATTTAAAAAAATCAAAAGCTGCTATTAGCAGCTTGAGGCAGTGGTATATTGGTTCTTTACAAATTTAGGGATGGTTGGGTTTTGGCTATTTGTGGTGATTCCTTTTTTACTGCAGTATGGAATAGACGTAAGTTGAGGGGTAAAACATAAGAAACAATGACATTAGTCTGACGGGATAAACTAGTTATAAGCGCTGATCCTCATCAAAACGTCAGTAATAATAGACGCGACCCTGAGGATATGTTTATTACTTAATCACTACAGAAATTATGTTTACACATTAGCATTAATGTTTTTTTTCCATTCTGAGGCCTTCCATTTATTCTGTTTTATTTATTTTTAAATATTCCTCTATTAACCTTTATTTTTGTCTTGACAACTGTCGAAATATGCTTTGTTCAAAAAAAAAAAAATCTCCTTTATTCTGATGTATTTCATTTATTCCCTCAGGCGTTCACAGCTCGTGTGTGACCATTCAGCGAATTTTATATGCCAAAGTTTTTAAATAATACAAAATAATTTTTTTAACAGAATCTTAATAATATAATAATCATTTAACAACAATAAATATAACACAAAAAATAATTTATAGCAATGCACGAGCTTAAAATATCTGAAATATATTATACTTTTAATGTGAACTTTGGGAAATTTAGAAAATAAAATAGCTAAAGAAATTCTACAGTAAATTATGATGAAAAAAAAAGTTTTATATAAAATAAGTAACAAAAAAAATCATTAGTAATCTATAATAATAATAATAAAAAAATTCTATAATTTGATTAAAAAAAAAAGAATTTTCAGATTTCTTATCGAAATTCTACAATGATGTCATTTACTAAAACTCTTTGGAATTAAACACGCTTGAATAAATTATAAAGTCTGTAGATTGTGACGCATATTTTAAAGACTTTGAGAGATTAGCTAACATGGAGATGGTGAGCTTCAAGTAAAACAACAAAGTTTGTTTTTGTTGGTATACATTAATTATTTTGCTTTATTAAAAAAAATTCTGCCCAAACATTACTTAAGTAATATCAAGTAATTTATTGTCAAGTAAATTAAATTTTAAAAGTAAATTAAACAAAAAATTGGTATTTTATTAAAAATTGTATAAAAATAGTATGACTATCTCTGTATCATACAATATAAATCTACTCTATCCCTATACTTCAAAGTTTACGAATACGACCTAAATAAATAAAATAAAAAATAAGTTAAAAAACTTTTCAAAATCTTGTTAAAAACTCTCTAAAGTAATAATACTGAATTAAAGCAAAAACAAAACCATCGATTAGATATATATTTAAAACAATAACATATAATAGAGGTATATAAATATGTATATACAAGTAAATATTAACAAAATACTTTATTTAAATTACTTAAAAGCACGTTTAGGAATATATAATAGTAAACATAGAAAAGTGGGGAAATAATTGATTATTGGAGTGAATAAGGCATAGATCATCCAGATCATATTTTAAAAATCCGGAAAATTTTTTAGCTAAAATATTCAGAAAAAATCTGGAATATATTTTCCCTTATTTTTGTCTTAATTTTGCATTTAGCTGAATTGTTTCTAATTTTTTTTCAATTTTTTCTTTATTTTCTATGAGTTTTGAATGAAAAAGCTTAAAAAACAAATAAATTACAAAAATTTATGCCTAAACTTGTATGTATAGAAAATGTTTTGGATATCCAAAAAACTAAAAGCTGAAAAAAATATCCGGAATTCCAGAAATATTTAGAAAAGGATAATCCCTGAAAAGTTTATAGCAAAATACTAATAATGCAGGTAAAATTACTTTTGTTATATATATTATTTTATTCATCTAGCTTTGTTCTACATACATTTCTAGTAATATTTAAAAATAAAAAATGGAAAGTGTATGGGTGGAGCCTTCAAAAAACTTTTAAGGCAAACAGCAAACAACAACCAACAACAGCATTACTTTATCATTAAAAAAAAGTAGAAAATATAAAGATGAAAAAAGTGAAGTATGGCAAGAAATGACTGGCATTTCTTGCCATACTTCATCGTCCGGATGTACTTTATGTTCAAATTTAAACCCTAATCCAAGACAACTTTCAATTGTTGCCAGTTTTTCCAAGAAAGATTTTTCTGAACTTGTTTTGGCTTGAATGGTTGCTGCTAATTTTATTCCCATTTATAAATTGTCAAAAAGTATTGATATTCAAAAAGGATGGGCTGCTTGAGGTTCTAAAATTCTATGTTAAAAACAAGCTATGACTTCAATGTTTTTGGAATACGGAAAAATTAAAAAAAAAAAAAGAAAAAAAAAGATGATTTATGATTTGTCAAAAAAGATTGAGAATGCCGATAGATTTTTATTGACTCTAGATGAATGACCTTCCAAAAGAAATTTATATATATTTTTGGAATGGTTACAGATGGGGCTAGTGTAATGAAAAAAACTAGAAGATTTTCTCAAATAACTCATCAACTATCCTTTCTCATGGAATTCACATAGTAGCTGTTGATGTACTTTATAAAAAGGCAAATAGTCTAATAGAAGATAAAGATTCCTGTTGTGACTTAGATGAGGATAATGAAGAATTCAATGATGATGATAATGAAACCAATTAAGAAACTTATTTCAGTTGGGAAACTACTACTTAATAAAGAAGGTGTTAAGTTATGTGAGCTTAATGAAATTAAAAGCACTATCCAAAAAATTTGAATGATTGTAAAGTTTTTTAAAAGGTCACCTTTAAGAAATGATTGTTGTCTTAATGAGTTTGGGAACAAGTTGGATTAAATTTGGATACAAAAACACGTTGGAACTCAATGTCTAAAATGATTTCCAGATTTCATAAAATTGAACCAATGTCAACACCAACTTCAACGAATTTTAAACAACGTTGTTTAAAAATCATCGAAGCTGGTGCTGACGGTCTTTGTTAAAGAAATTTTACACTTTTTGGAGATGAAAAAACATGTCAATTTATTTTAACAAATTTAAAAGACCAAGATACAACAATAGCTTCTTTTTTTTTAGAGTCTATGATAAAAAGAATTTCTGAAAGAAATAATATTGGAATTGTAAAGATATTTAGAGGTACCAAATCAGTATGATCAAGCTAAAAAAGATTTTATTTTAGAATATTCTAAGAAAAAAGAACTTAGAAAAAATCAATTATAGCAAGAGATATTAATTCTGGTCTTTTTTATGACTATAAAAATCCTAAAGCATCTTAAATTGATGCTTTAGGATTTTTATAGTGAAGCCTTGTTGAAATTAAAGAACCATTGAAAAACAAGAGGCTGAGTAAGCTTTATTATTTTCTTTGATATTTTAGACTTCTTTTAATATTTTAGACTGTATCAAAAAAGAAATCGTTGTGTTTGAAGAATCAAATGACTGCTTCAAAGTCTTTACTACCATCAACAGTTGAAGCAGAAAGATGTTTCAGTGCTGCTGGACTTTTTATTACTAAGTTGAGAACATCATTGAGTGATAAAATGGTTGACACATGTTTTTTGAGTTCAAATTTAAAAGTTTAGTTAGATTTTCTTTTGTTTGGTTATACTTATGTAGTAATAAAACACAAAAATGTATGTAAACTTTATGTTTCGAAAATAACTAAAATTACTTAAAATTACTTATATTACTTAAGTAATTTGAAAAAAATTACCTAAAATTTGTAACTATTTTATTAATATTAAAATTATAAATACTTGAAAATTACTTGAGTAATTTTTTCCTATTACTTGAACACCCCTAATCCAGTTATGTAGACAAGCAATTTATTGAAATTCAAATTTAAAATTTAACAATTTCTGACAATTGTTTGAAATCGTTTTTGCTTTGTGAGTTCTTAATTTTGTAATCTTTTATCTAAACAATGTAACCCTTTATCAAAATTCCTGTTTAAAATATAAAATTTTAAAACTTGATTAAATATGTTTAAAAACTATGTACTGGAATAAATTTTTTACATGATAAAAATTTAGTAACATGTTCTGATAAAATATTTTTTCTGTCGCATCAGTTTGAAAGTTATACCAATTTAAAATTCTGTCACATCAGTTTAAGTCAATTAAAAACTCCATCATCAGTTTAGACCAATTAAAAACTCTGTCACATTAGTTCAAGCCAATTAAGAATTCTATCACATTGTTTTAAATTAAAAAAGAAAAAAGTGACTACAGACTTAAAAGATATTTTGTTTATTAGAAAACTTTTTAAAATGTTTTCTAGTGTGAAAAACCACATCACCTCAAATTCAACATAAAGTAACAAAAAGATTGTTTAATTTTTTCAAGTTTAATAAGTTTCGCTGATAATAATTAAGTTTCGCTGATAATAATTAAGTTTCGCTGATAATAATTAAGTTTCGCTGATAATAATTAAGTTTCGCTGATAATAATTAAGTTTCGCTAATAATAATTAAGTTTCGCTGATAATAATGAAGTTTCGCTGATAATAATGAAGTTTCGCTGATAATAATTAAGTTTCGCTGATAATAATTAAGTTTCGCTGATAATAATGAAGTTTCGCTGATAATAATTAAGTTTCGCTGATAGCCACATTCATTATTGATTAAAGAGCTGATTTGTCTGATCATTGGTTTAAAAAAAATTTTGTCACTATGAAGGTTTCCATTACAGTTAATTATTTTTTAAAAGATTGAAATTAATTACAAATAAAAACAATTTGTAAACTTGGAAATATAAATTCTTTCATTGACTGATTTTTAAATTTAAATTTCTCCACTTTTAAGATAAAAAAAGAATTTTTTGAACAATTATAACAATTTAATTAAAAGATCTTTATTAAAATCTAATAATTTTACTTTAGTTTACTGGATATTGCATCAAATGATTTTTATAATTATGCAGCATTTATGCATAATTATGCATAAATACAGCAATGTGATAAGATATTAGGTCTTCTCCAATATCTTAATATAGCCAAACAACAAAACAAGGGTACTGGATTTAAATTTTCTTTTAAGAGTTAATTATTAACTGTGTTGAGTAGTGAACTAAGAAACTAAAAAGAAACATTCAAAAAGTAATATGGATGTGCTCAAAATGGATTTCAAATTCAAATATATTTTATATACAATTTTGCTTATTTTATGACATCAAATTTAATACAAAATATTTTCTTACCTGCTGTGATTAATATAGAGCACTGACCATCAATCATTCTATCTGCAAGCGAGTCAGCAGAAAAACCTGCAAACTGGTATATGGAAGAAAAAAATTAAACCTTATTTTTCAATAACAAAAAAAGGTTAAGCAATATCTCACAACAAGAAAATGAAAAATAAAATAAATGAAAAATAAAAAAATAAAAAAGAATGTATTGATGTCTAATATTAGTTCACAAATACAAAATCAAAAATTAGGAAAAGAAACAAAAAAAATTTTGCAACAAGTTTCACATCAGAAACACTTTTTAATGAAACAAAAATACTTTTATCAAACAATAACACTTTTTTAAGAAACAGAAATGTTTACTTTTTAATTAAACAAAAATACTTTTCTTTTATCAAATTGTGTCATTGAAGCTAACATTAGTACAACTTTGACATCCATTTTTCATAGACAATACCTAATCCTAGATTCTACTTATTAAACCATATTAGCAACCCAGCTTTTTTTGCCTAAAAATCATCAAAAAACTCTAAAGCATTTGGCATAATTGTTAGATTATGTCTTTTGGTACCTTTTGTGCTTGTAGTGATCAATCCAATCAGTGCATTTCTAATGCAAGTCATGTTTATCACTTCAGTGATGTTCCTGAAAATATGGGACCGATACCTTAATTATAGGCTCATTGAGGTTCACTTCTTGGTTAGAACCCATTGCACTTGGTGTAACACTTTTTTCATTAACACTTTTTGTACAAGAACTCTCAGCTTAAATTTTGCTTTGTTGTCAGTGTTTAAGTCTCTATCTATACCAGTTAGGGACAAGTAAAGTAGCTCATGTTATTAACAAAAAAACTGGATTTTTTTTTTTCAATTTTGTAATAACCACTAATAACTAACCAATAAGAAGTTCTGTTCTATTTTTTTATTCATTTATAGCACTAATTCGAACTCTTTATATTCCTCAACATTTTCTAAATGATTTTGTAGATACAATAAGAAAATTTCAAATTTTATTAGCAAATTTTTCATATTGTAACAAAATTAATGATGCGCATAGTAATGTCACTTAATTCTTATAAGTCACTGTATTTAAGGAAAATTAATACATAGCAGTTTTCTGTAACTCTTAAAAGCATATTAAAAAAAAAATTAAAAACCTTTAACTAACTAATTTTAAATAGAAATCAGAAATATATAGAAAGATAATACCTATTTTAAAAACACTAATTTATATATATATATATATATATATATATATATATATATATATATATATACATACATACATACACACATACATACATATAAATATATACAAACACAACAAATAATAGGTAGCCAGCTCTTGGAAATAGGGCCAACATTCAGAAATACCGACCTAACTGTCAATATGACAGTGTTTGAGGTGGACAATTGTTTTTTGACCTAGTTATAATATTGTTGTGTTGAAGCTATTACTTTTCTTGAATAACAATGCTTTTTTATGAAACATATCTAAATGATGAAAATACTTTTTTATAAAAAATTTATTTATAGATGTGTATAACTTTTTTAGATTATTTCTTTATTAAGTTTTGATTTTGATAAATCTTAAATTTTTTTTTGATAAAGATCAAAAAAATTTACGGTGAGTATAATTAAACTGGTGTGCGCAACTTTAAACTTAACTTTTAAATAAATTAAAATCTTATTTTATAATTAAGTTTTAAATTAAATCGAAAAAAGCTTTTTCTAAATTTTAAATGAAATAATTAAAATTTTTTACACTCAAACAACATGTACATTAAACTATAGATTCTACAGATTTACTATTGTTACATTAAACACAGATTTAAAAAACATAACGAAAGTAAGCACCGCAAAGGATAAAATAATCAACAATTTAAAAAAATATGTCAGAAGTATAAAAGATAAAACCAGTAAGACCAATCTAAAACCATTCTATAGTGAAATAACAAAGGTAGACTCAGCAAGAAGTGGTCATTGGAACAATTAATGTCAACACAAAATTACAAGTTTAAAGTAAAAAACTTCATTATCTTCTGCCTTCCAAGTGACCCAAACAAAATTGATACTCAACTTACAAATGACCTAATAGCACCAATGGAAATTCTAGAATTGTAAAAACTTTTTTTTCTATGTTATTCACCTCTCTATCACCATATATTCGAGGAGGCTGCTTTATTGCAGTTACAATCCTCTCTCAACTCTATAACTCTGAAACACAAACCTTGAGGAACAAGGTCACTGCACTGAGAAAAAATAAATAAAAAAACAAAAACAAAAAAAAAGCTTAAAACATTTTAAGCAAATTGACCTTTTTTAAAAACACCGATTTAATTATGAAATCATTTAGGTGTTGCCAAATCATTAACCAAATTTTATCAACATCATCGAAGAAAATTCTGCCAAAAACCACTAAAATTCAATGCAGCAAAACTTTTATTCAAAATAACACCATCCTATAAATGTTCACTCTCATGTTTCTTCACAAATACAACATCTCTCCCTTCTAATAATATCCTCAATACAGTCTTTAATCTTCTACAGCTGACCTGCTAGCTGCTGTGACTGAAAGATTCTAGCATATTTTAGATGAAGGTGGCAAGGCTAGGGCTAGGGCTATATATATTCATAAGCATGATTCTTATGGTGTATCTAGCAAAGTTTTTGAAACTATTAAATTGTTTCTTTCTAATCAATTTATTAAAGTCATCCTCAAAGACCAACACTCTTCTTTATTTCCAGTAACTTCTGGGGTACCTCAAGGTTATATCCTTGGTCCTATTCTGTTTCTTAACTACATTAATGATCTTTCCGACAACTTTACATCTAAAGTAACTCTTTTTACTGATGACTCAACTTCATACTCTTGTCTTGAAAAAAAGTCTTTTCAATCATTTAGCTGATCTTGAATCTGATCTTCCTTCTGTAACAGCTTGGGTTTTCAGTGGATTGTGAATTTTAACTCCAACAAAACTCAGTTATTTACTTCTAGACTTAAATAACAATGCTTTTTTAACAAACATATCTCAATGATGAAGATGCTGTTGTAAACATAGTTTACAATGCGTTTTTAGACCTTGTCATAAGTTGCATCCCTATTCATTGTCATAAAGTTGCATCTCTTTATCTTTTCTACAAATATTATCATGGTCGCTGCTTTAAGGAGCTATTATCTCTAGTTTTATCAACCAAAACTTATTCTCGCTTGAGTTGTCCTTTAGCAAGTAGAATCCTTTTACTATATTTCCTGCATGCCCTAAAAAACTTTTATTTGTCTAGTTTTTTTTTTCCTGCACTTCAATCCTTACAATATCATCTTTATTACAGAAACCCGATTTAATGATCTCAACCCTTACTCCATGAAATTGGACCTCCTTTTTGTAATACCTCACCAGGTCTTTGTCACTGGCAACATTAACTATCACATATTAATCATTATAGATTTGTACTGTAAAATTATTAATAATTTTTTGTATTACTCTAGATATCTAAAATTTCAATTGTAACTGTACTCATATATCTGAGTATGACCTTGATGACATCATTAACTTTAAGTGTGATCAAAATTTTACAAGGCTTTGTATCAGAAGAAAGTCTAGATTTTCTAAAAAGGAATAAAAACATTCCCAATATGTGTCAGTCTGAATGCATTTGATGTTTTAAATGCATTAATAAGCTTTTTATTTGAACTTTTTTTAATTAATGGCAATCATTCCAAGTATCTAAAAGTTCCCATTGTTTACAAATTTTTTTCAGAGATTTCACACCAATGACAAAAATGCCTCAGATGCAACTACCATATGTTTACATGATGGATTTATACTTATCTACATTAGTCAATGATGAGCTCAACAAATCCAACATTATCATTACAAAAAATGAGCAATTGAGCTTCCTCACTTTGTTTATGGCCTTTCAATACATCCAGTGCATAAATTTCCAGCTAAACTTGAATAAATTGATTTGCTACCTGTTTTTAAAAGTTAAATTTTTTAAAAGTGGTGCTTTGTGAGTCTGTTTCAAATTAAGCCTAAAGTAAGTAATTAGATTGATCAAAATCAGATTTACTAACTTCCATTGCAGAAACAAAATAGTAATAATAGCTTGTGTATTAAAGTTGTAGAAAACAAGCTGAAATTTTTGAAGGTGAGCTGAGTAAAAAAATCTTTTGATCTTTAGTAAAAGATATATGTGATATAAAGTTCCAACTAAACGAATACATTTATGTAAAAGATGGGAGAGGGAAATATCTGAATATAAAAAAAATCATTTTTTTAACATTCTTTAATGAGTTATGCAGGGACTTGGATGTGCTATTCTTCCACCAATTGGTTGCCAACAGAACTGACATATTTTAACTTAGGCATGAAGTAATAAAGTAAATCTTATGCTACAACTGGATGGCTTCCTTATGGGAAAGGACCAGCATGACTCTGGCTAAATAATCTGCAGACAAAACGATAAAAAATATTTTGATAAAACCGGTACAAAACGAAGTAACTTTTATACAATTTTGCAAAAAAATGGTACAAAAAGGAACAAAGTTTACTTCTTTCGTAAAAAATACGGTACAAATCGAAACAACAATTTATTGTTTTGTAAAAACCGATAAGAAATAAAGTTAAACTGAATAAGATACAAAATAACTGGTACGAAACAGAATAAGGCTAAACCTTTTAGCTAAACTTTTGTTTACGAAATATTAAGTTAGTAAGTATTAAACGCGCTTTAGTTCATGTATTGCTCGGGGTATGGGAATCATAAAACATCTATTTGGGGAGGAGGAATTATGAAATGTTCTGTAAAAAATGATACGAAACCAAACAAAATTTTCTTGTTTGTAAAAATACGGTTCAAAACGAAACAAGATTTACTAGTTTTGCAAAAATACGATACAAAACGATATAATATTTTTTGTTTTGTAAAAGTGGCACAAAACGAAAATTGTTTAGTACCGTGTCAAACCGAACTTCCGCAAGGATACAAGAAGACGCAGATGCTTACTCTGGCTAGCACTGATTGTATTAATACAAATAACTTAACAATTAATAAAACATCACTAAGAATTTAATGTTGTCAGACCTGTAAGAACAACATTAGAAAAATTAAAAGCATTAGGTAAGATCATTATTTTCTCACCTTTTTCAGTCTTGAGAATTTATTCTAGCGCAAATTATTATCTAGCGTAAATTATTATCATGCCTTCCCACAGGCTTGGTCGGGAAGCAAGAGCTATTGCTTTCGAATACTGACCACGGAAATTATATTTAGTTGCGAAAAACTGGCCAGGTTTTTTAGTCGTTTTGAGAACATTTAAGTTTATGTACGAAACAAAAAATTTTTGTTTTACGGACATACATGGAAACATAATAAACTTGAATGTTCTCCTAACATCTTTGTGCGAAAGAATAAAAAAAATATTCACAAACGCTAAATTAACGAAGAAACTAATTCTATTAGTTCAAAAAATACGCTGACTAATTCTATTAGTTCAAAAAATACGCAAAATAAAGTTTTAGAGTATCCTGTTGAAATGTTTTAGAAATTGTCATATTCACGATTTGTTACGTTTTGAGATTTCTAGTTTGCTTGTTTTAAAAATTTATACTATTTGTTTACAAAAATAAATATTTTAAATATATATTAAATTGTCAAAATTTCAAAAGTTTATCATAAATTATAGATTTTATTAGTATACTCTTATTTTTTTATTTAAAAAGTATGTATTCTTTATGTAAATGTAATTTTGTGTATCTGTTTTTTATCGTAATGTATCTTTTAAAGCAATTTTTATGATTTAAACAAAGACTTACAAAAATAATTGCGTTTTCAATGAAGTTATAATTGTTATAGTTAATAAAACTAATTATGTAACAAATATATAAGAAGTTTCTGGTTACTAAACACAAACAATGCATTCAAAGTAACTCGCCGATGAACAAGCACCGCGCCTGAGGTCACGACAGAACACAAATATATATATAGCAAATAATTAGATATAAAGAAAAGTTTCTATATATTGGTTTACCAACTCTAATTATTTTCGCTTAAGTTGCCATCCTTGAAACTCGTTATACTTTTTTCTGCTTTAAATACTAATTAAAATTAAAAAGCCCACTCACTAAACATCATCAGCGATATTGTGAAGCAGTTTCGCTTCCTCGTCATAAAGTATTTTTAACCTTTTTAGTTGATTTTTATCAGGTCAATCTAATTTCTATAGTAATTCAATGATTTAATTATTTCATTTGTTTATTTTACTAAGAAGAATTGCTTCAAATATGTTAAACTTTTCAAACTACGCGAAACATAAAATAGATATTGAAAAAATTAACTTTTTTATTTATAAAATAATTTAGCTTAAATAAAACTAAAACTTGCGAACTTTGCTAAATAAAGAGCATTTGTTTCTTTTTTAAACAATCGCAAGTTGTTACTTTACATAAAAAACATCGCTTAATTTTATAAAAAAAATTACAAAAGAGCGATGTTTCGAAAATATTTGTTCTAAACGTAATTTATTTAGCTTTAAGTTTTTTCGCGTCTAAAGATATTTTATTTGCCTAATTTTTTTTTTTGTAATTGTTTCTCATCAGTCCAATTAATCTTTTGCGCTTTTTTTTTTTGCTTTTTAAAATGTTCTCAAAACGACTAAAAAATCTGGCCAGCTTTTCGTAACTAAATATTATTTACGTCAGCATTGGTAAGCAATCGAGAGCGATCGCTCCCGCTTCCCGACCAAGCCTGGCCTTCCCAGGTAAGGCGTGCGGTTTTTCGTCTAGTGCGTCCACGAAAAGTTTTACAAAATTCAGTAAGTCAAAGCAAAAAAAAAAAAAAAAAAAGTTTTAAGCATTAAAAAGGATGGATGTGTTTTTTCTTATAAAGAGGAAAGAGAAAATATGTATCGTCATCTGTTTGTAAAACATATTTGTATAATTATAATGTAACAAGTATATACTATAGGTTAAATTATACGATCGCAATTTGCAAACTCTGGTAAAATATTTGGTCTTTAAAATTTTAGTTCATTCAACGCTGTGTACTTTGTTTACAAGGAGCAAATTATTAAAAGTTTGCTAGCAAGAAAGTTACAAAAAACAAAACAAAAACAAGAAACTTACGACTTCAAAAGTAATAACACTTTAGTCACTAACTGCATTATAAAAGTAATAAAACTATATTAGTGTTATTACATTTATAAAGCACTTATTACTTTTAAAGTTCATTCTTTGTTCAAACAACATTATTAATTCCAAACATTTATTAAAGTAGAAAAGCATCTAGAAAAAATAAAGCGGATATTCAAATATTAAAAATTTCTGGAACTTTCACAGATTACTTAAACAACGTTATAAAAAAGTACTTTATAAAAAGTATAGCATTATGAAAAACGTTACGTGAAAACATGCGTTTTTACAGTCCATTAGTAAGGTTTTTCATAATGCTAAATTTTTAATACGATACATTTTTATAAAGTTGTTTGTCACGATTTTATAAGTTATTTAAGTTTTAAATATTATTTGAACATCCACTTTATTCTTCTAGATAATTTTCTACTTTAATTAAAATTTGGGATTACTTGAGATACTTTCAGCATTAATTATTATAAAACTTGCAAACAACCGTGTTCAAGTTGTCTAAAATAAAATACTTGTGTGTGGTCATACAAGACAAAAAACCGCAGGCCTTTCCTGGGAAGACTTGTATTATCTAGCGCAAATTGCAGAATGTAAATGATCTTCATTAGGATCATAGTTCACAATGAAGTAAAAATTTAAATTTTTGTTGTGGAATTTTTAAAATGTTTTTATTAAATATTGATAAACTGTTACAATAAACAAATCTTTACAATTAACAATTTTTATTTCTACTCACAACTATTGAATGGATGGCTCCAATTCTAGCACATGCCAACATTGCGACAACTAATTCAATGATCATCGGCATATATATAGCCACACGATCGCCTTTTTTAATTCCTAAGTAAAATAAAAAAATAAAACAGTTAAGATTTTTCATGGCATTAAATAAACATGGCATCAAAGAAAATAAGTAATTTAAATTAGAATTACAAAGTTCTACTAAAATTGGAAAAAGAAAAAAATATATAAAGGTTTTGATATTTCACCAAGCACTCTTTCAATCTGGAAAAAGAATTAAGATAAAATCTTTGACACTTTTTATAAAAAAAATTTGGCAAACCAAGTGAAAGTTGTACGTATCATTAAGTAAACAATCCTGTACTTAAATGGTTCAAACAAATGAGAGCTGAAAATGTTGCCATAAATGGTTGAAAGGCCCTAATAAAGTAAAGAGTTTATCTTTTGCAAATTTAAGAAGAAAAAAAAGTTATTTTCTTATATTACATTATCCAATCTTTCTGATTAACAGCTTTACAATATATGACTCTTTTACAGTTTTTTCTTTTTTGTTTGCTTTTTGTTTGAAGAAAGGAAAATATTTTCCAGAATTAGACATTACAATGGCATCAAAGTTATATGCCGAAGCAATTATTATTAGTTTTATATCTGTAGATATCATTGTTACCATTATCAGGTTTATCTTCTTAAAACTTTCTCACTCACAAGTGAAAAAGCAGACTGTTGCCTTGGAAAAAGAGAACAAGACACTTCAGTTCTTATCTTTATGCTATGTTTATATAGGAATGCTATATATCTTGAATGCTACGTCTATATAGGTATGCTATATATCTTGAATGCTATGTCTATATAGGAATGCTAGCATGGAGTTGAATAGCAGACCAAACCATTATAATTTATTTCAAGAATTAAGGAATATGAGTAGAATCAACGATCCTTCCTGCTTAGATGTTAAGAAATAAATGAAAACTTAAATGATCTTGAATTATTAAAATGCGGATATTTTAACAACACAGTCAAAGAATATGTAGTCAAATGTTTGTATTGTCAACAAGTTATTAAATGAGAACATTATTGCAAAAGTTTTAGGATATGATGCTATCAAAACTGAGGAATAATCTGATGAAGACCATGCTAATATATGCTAATATATGCTAATATATGCTAATATTTCTGACAATGTTACAAAACCAAGTTTAGTCACAGTAACGTATGATATCATTCTACTCAAGACAGTATTACATAATTATTCTAGCTTAAACTACTATTAACTTAAAATTAGTTTATAACAATTAACAATTAACTACAGAAATATACAGAATTATTATATTCTAATTCTAGAGATGATTTAACAAAAGCTCTTGAAGACATCGGATCATCTTAAAGACATCCTGTCATCTTAAAGACATCGTGTCATCTTGGAGTCAGTGTATCATTGAGATGATTCACAAGCTCATAAAAAACAATCTAGAATTAATGACTTTTTTTTTTGAAAATCTAAAACTGCAAAACAAATAATATGTTATATTTAAGAATCACTATTTATTTGTTTGCTTAATTTCTCTTTGACCCAAATATTTAAAAAAAGTCAACTTTCTATAAATCAAAAATCTTACAAGCTAAAACTTTTATTTTTCCCAAAAAATTTCTTTTAGAGAGATAGTAGATATTATTTTAAATTTGTCTATTGTTATATTGCTATACAGTAAAAAAAGAAATAAAAAAATAATAAATTAGTTATAATAAATATCTTGTTAAAGTTAAAATAAATTGTTGCAAAATGAATTTTTTTGTTTATGTGATACAAAGATCACAAAAATTGACCTAGGGAGCCATCCAGTTACGTAGACCTGGAGATGTGAAAATAAAAACAGATTGTAGATGATATTATTTAAGTAAAAAAACATGAATTAATGTAAAGACTATTTAGTAGGATGAGTAAGAGTTAGCGACTCAGGAAGAGAGGAACCATAACTCACACTATAATCTTCTTTAGCAAATGATAAAACAATGATCTATGAGTAAACAATTCAATATAAATCTGCTGGTTTATTAATGGTATCCACTACTAAAATAATCGCACCATACAAAAACAATAAAATAAGTAGATAACAAAATAGTAAGTAAAATGATAATAAATGATAGTTCGAGCAATATATAAAAAAAAAAAGTCTAATAAATGTGGTACTATATATGGTCTAAACTCTAGATAATAAATTGAGAACTGATAACCACCTGTATAACATAAAAGTATATAAATGTCGTTAATGTAATAAATTCATAATATAAAGCTCACAAAGCGCAAAACTTCATGGGTGTAAGAGGTAAAAAAATGTTGGTACCATAATAGCCAATTAGAATTAAGGAGTGGATAAATGGCAACCCCCCTCCTCAGGAATGCACTGCGATCACCAATGACGTTTCAGAGAGCCCAAGACCTGCACTAACGCCACTCATCAGGGGCGTGTCCTTGCAACAGATCTCACGGCCTGCACTCTATGTCAATACTGCAATATAATAGGACTACACTACAAAAGCTAAAAAACCTAATCCCTATCCCAGTTTTTAATACAGTTCCAACATTCTTAGAGATCTTGTGAGGGTGGTGAGGAATGCGCGTGGTATGACCATAAACAAATATTTAACCACATATAAATAAAATGTACATTTACTTTAGAAGAGACAAACTTGTACACATGTACGTATGCAAATGTATTAAAATAAACAATTTAAATGTGTAGAAATAACACAAAGCCAATAGAAAATCTCTTCCTGAGTCGCTAACTTTAACTCCTCCTACTAAACAGTCTTTACATTAATTTATGTTTTTTTACCAAATGACATCATCTACAATCCGTTTTTATTTTATCTCCCAGGTCTACATAACTGGACAGCTCCGTTGGTCACTTTTTGCGATCTTTGTGTTGCATAAACAAAAAAATATATATTATACAAACCTCAGAGTCTAAAATCAAATTAAATGTAATTTAATTTTACATTTCATGGAATACTTCTTTCATTTATTGATTTTTTACTTATAAAAAAATATCTTCAATCAGTTAAAAGCTTTAATTTATTTAAATCAAAATTATATTGACTAAGATGTAAGTACTAACTTTAAGTAAACATCTTATTCAATGAAATTTGACAAATTTAAAGCTTTTAGCTGATTAAAGATAGTAACAGTTTTTTTTTTTCCTAAATAAAAAATTAGTAAATAAAAGAGGTAAGATTTTATGTCGGTATTTCTAGACAAAGAGTTTGAATAAAGTCCTTCTTTATGTTTTTAAAAGCAATTTTCTTAAACAATTTTCAAACTGTAACTGATTGAATATTGCAAATAAAACACTTGAATTAGTTAAAACTTTACAAATTTACAAGAAATTAAAATTAAAACCTTTTTTTCTTTTCTTTAAATGAACACAAAATGCTTGACATTTTTGGGATCCCTTGAACAAGTTATGGGATAAATAAAGACATTTAAAAAATAAAAAAACTGAAAAAAAAAAACTGAATAAAAATCTACCTTTTTCTTTCAAAACATTTGCAAACTTGCAAACCTCTTTCAGTAAATCTGAATACGTATACTTTTTTGACTCGCTAAATTCGTTGCCTTCCCTTAATAAAAATTAAAATTGATACTCTTTACACACACACAAAAAAAAAAAAAAAGTTTAGATTAAGAGAATAAGAGAATAGTTTATATTTGAAGATAGAGAGAAGGTTACTACAACAACAACAAACAAACAAAAACAAAAAAAGAGTAGTTTCCTTGGCCGAAGTTGCCCCCCTTTAACTTTAGGGAGGTGAATACCAAAAAAATACTAATAACAAATAAGGCTGATTGCTAAAATGGTTGTTAAAATCAAAAAAATCTCAAGTATCTTAATATAATTGTCTACTTTGCCAGTGTATAAGTTGCACAGTCTTAATCCATTATATGTGATACAACAACAGATCCCTACCAAACCTCCTCTGCCCTCCATCTTAAACAAGTATTTTTTATCCCACTGTCAGTCATCTTAAAAATGTTTTTGCAAAATCGCATTATACAAGTATAGTTTACAATCAAATTTAGTGCATGTTTTGAGATTTTTACTAGTCAGATTTATTTCTCTAATAATTTGTTTAGCAATACACTTTTTTTCTGCCCAATTTAAATGTTATATTATCATTAATTTTCTGGGCCTCCTAGATCTGGGATTGTCTAACCTGGTACCTCTCTTTTTGTAGTTAGATATTGTATTACTGAAATTAAAGGCAGAATTGTGAAACTCAAAATAAAAAAGAGTTTAAAACAGTTCAAGATAATATACAAGAAATACAATAAATGTCAACGCAAATGTAAATAAATCTAGTTCAATTAAGAAAAATATATATAGAAAAACACAATCACAGCCAATGCTTATAGTAGTATTTGAAAGCACATATATATATATATATATATATATATATATATATATATATATATATATATATATATATATATATATATCCGCTCTTGAAATTAGGAAAAATGAGGTCCACAATAAATTGCTGATCTTAAACTGTTAGAGATCAGCAAAAAAAATTTGCCACAAAGGGTTTACCATAAAACATAGAAAGGAGGTCAACAGTTTTTTGCCAACCAAAAACACTTTTAGGTTGGCAGTTGGTGTATGTATGTATGTATGTATGTATGTATGTATGTATGTATGTATGTATGTATGTATGTATGTATGTATGTATGTATGCAGGCTTGGTCAGCAACACGTGCGATTGGACGCCATTATATAACCACTCAAGTAATACTTTATTTTGACGATTTGACCACGGTTTTTAACATTTTTAAAAATGCGCTGAAAAAAATTATTTTTAATTACTTCAAAAATAAATAACTTTTATCTTTACTGGCGTTTTTATATTAATGAAATGCTTTCAGATAAAGTAACAGTTACTGATAACGTTTTAATTTAAAGTAGAGATGAAAGTTGTATAAATTTTTATTTATAAATTTATATATATATATAAGATTTTATTTATAAATAAAATAAAATATAAGATTTTTAAATAATTAATCTTATTTATTTTTTAACTATTCAAATTTTATAAGCGATGAATTTAAACAACGATTGTTTCTTTAATATACTTTATTTAAGAATCATTCAAGTTGTGTATATATATATATATATATATATATATATATATATATATATATATATATATATATATATATATATATATATATATATATATATATATATATACTGCTCTATTTAGAAAGTTGTTTACTTTCTTTATTATTGAGCACTCTTCACCTCTCTTCAAATAGAGTTTTTTTATTATTATTGTATTAATTTAGTATTACAACATTAAATATCAATTGATATATATATATATATATATATATATATATATATATATATATATATATATATATATATATATATATATATATTAAATGACAACATCTTGTATGAGAGTTTAATAAATTTAATATATGAATTTATGAACATCAATAAATACAAATTCTCTCAATACTAATTTTTTTATTTAATCTATGAAATTTTTGCTAGATTATTGATACTAACATCTTCAGCTTTAATTACAAATTATTAATTAAATTTAATTACAAACAAACAGTAATGTCACTTTTTAATGGCTTCTTTAAAGTTCGCTTTAATTGAGCTTCTTTAATATTATGTAGGTATAAAAAATATAGCGTCCAGAATTGCATTTTTACATATTGATCATATCTAAATTTATACCTCCGTTTTTAGGTCTGCATTTTGTTGAACTGAATTTCAATTGTCTCTCAAACTTTTCTTTCAAATTTTTTGGGTTCTACTTTTAATGTTTTTACTTGATTCCATTTTATACTACATGGACATTGAACTTTATGATGCCCAATTGCAGATTGTTCTAATTTTTCTTCAAAAACATTTTTTTGGTGTTGTTTTGTTCTTGCTGCTATTTTCATTTTTGTTTTGCCAATATATTTTTGTTCGCACTCACATTCTATTAGGTATACTCCAGGATGGCTATTTGATGGTAGTTTTGTTTTGTTGCGTGAAATTAACAAAGATTTAAGATTTGCACTAGATTTGAAGACTGCCCTGTAACCTGCTTTCTTAAAGATTTTTCAGAAGTTTGGTGATAATATTGAGATCCACGGTATTGATGATAGTTGGCATGGTTACATCATTTGTTAGATAAGACTACTTTATTATTTGAGTGTCGTATTTTTATAACAATATTTGCAAGGTCTTGTAATTTTTTCTTTTTGTATCCATTTTCAGCAAACACATTTATTAGAAAATTGATTTCTTTATTTAAAAATTTTCCAGAGCAAATTGATAAAGGTCTATGAATAAATCCTTCAAATATTCCTTTTAAGATTTATGGATCGTGGTTTGAATTGGGCTTAATCTGAATATTTGTTATTGCTTTTTTTTTTGATGTATGTTAAAATCATAACTACTTTTCCATTATTGGTTATTTAGATGTCTAAAAAATTTAATCTTTTGTATTCATCTTCTAATTCAATTGTATATTTGATGGCATGATGTTGGCTGTTTAATATTTGTTGAAAACAGATGGCATTATCTTTGTTTGTAAATCTTGCGTGGCTATCATCTACGTACCTCAAAAACAATTTTATTTCTAACAGCGGATTAGAATAAAGTGCAATATCAATTGCTTTATTTTCAAAAAATTGCAGGAAACCTTCCATAAGTACTACCATGAGTGAAAGTCCTATTGGACCTGAATCTACAAGCTCGTGAATTTCTTCATTCCATAAAAAATAACATTTAAATAAACATAGTTATATTAGTGATTTTATTTCTGAAACGCTTAGTTTTGTTAGTTTATTTAAATTTGGGAAGAGCTCTAACATATTAAGAAGAATTTTTGAAAGTAAATAATGTAATTGAAATTAGTTTTGGCATAACATAAATGACTTAAAAAACAAGGTGATATCTCCATTTTGTACATAAAATTCAAATGGGGTATTACTTATATATATTATATATATATATATATATATATATATATATATATATATATATATATATATATATATATATATATATATATATATATATTGTGTTTGCTGTTGTCAGCCAACACAAAACATTAATAGAACTTGCTAAATTTTTCCTAATATTTGTCAGTGGTAGTAATTGACTATTCTTGGTATGAATAAATTATGAGGAATTCACAATAATTTGCTATCATCAAACATAAAAGTAAAAACGCACGTTATTGATCCAAAAACAACTGCTGATGCCCATAAAACTTAAGTACCAAACCTTTGTTACTGTTGTTTACTTACTATTTCTACTGTATTTAATAAATTATAAGCATATATGAAGATTTAAACATTGAAATTAGCAAACAAAGCAATACCCACATGGTTACTTTCATTTACCTTAACATTTGATAAGCTTTATTTTGATTTAAAATAACTATTTATTGTGTTTGTAAATATACAAAAATATTTTTAAAAAAATCAGCAACCATAACTAAAATAGATGTAACGGTTTTATAAAGATGCAACTCCTACATTATTTAATCAACACTGTATTATGCTTTTTTATAATTTTTTTATACATCCAGATGTTTCCATTTGTAATTTATTCCAAGTGTTAGCCAGAGACTAATTATTGGGCAACCCATTTATACAAACTTATAAAGTTTGAAACAAAAATAAAAACATTTTTTTAGTAGTTTAAAAAAAAAAAAAAAAAGTTAAATTTTCGCACAATATTATTCTAAGTTAACAACCTGTATTTTATTCAACAACAACAAAAAAATCAATACAGAAAATAAAAATAAAATTAACATACTCAATTCTTATTTCAATAATAATTTTGCTTAGGACCTTAAAAAGTAATAAAAAATGCACAATATATTTTCATGAATAATTATGCATAATTAATGGTGTCCAAATTTTGAACAATGACAGCCAAAAAAGATATTTTGTAATTTTAGGTATTTATATGAAAACCACTAAAACAGTTTCTATCAGCAACCAAACAAAGATGAACATTAAAGTGTGTGTTTAACTTATTAAAATGCACTAAGGGTGCACTTTAAAAAGTTTGTTTTTAAAGTGCACCCTTATTTATAATTTTTTCTTTCACTTGATATGAAGGTATTGTAGTTTATCCTCCGCCAGCTAATTGCCTTGTGGAGGCCACATTACCAAGACCTGCAGAGACAAGCTCAACTCCCTAAGAAGCGTCATCACCTGCTCTACAAACCAAGAGTAAAGTGAGTTTGAGAAGAATGAAGCTATATTAGAGTGAGACAGAAGTTGTGTTAGAAAGATAGCATAGAAAAAGCAGACAGGAATTGCAATTTTAAAAGGGGCAATAGTGCTGTTAGTTGAACCGACAAAGACTTGAAGAGTTCACTTGATACAAACTCTTTATTAAGTAACTTTGTCGTGATATTTTACTCAATATGAACACTTCCTCAACTTTCTGTGTTATTCTTTTATATGGCAATTAGCTACTAAGTTGCTTGCGGGTTTATTTTTAAAAGTAATCTTTTTCATTAACTCTTTACATAACATAAGATAAAATCTTTTAATTTTTAAAATAGACTAATATTGCTTGTGGGTTTGTAATTTT